TTTAAAAACAATTACAATCAAATTGTGACCATTTAAAGCACACACATCTGAAACAGCTTATTACATAACGTGATTAATTCCGTAAAGGTTTTAATATTGTAAGGTACAATTACAATTTCAGGCAACGTCCTAATGAGTTTGAGTCCAACAATGGCGAGTGACGTCATTAAACTAGGCTTCGTGATGTCAGTTGCCTGCAGTTTTCCACTAATAATATTCCCCTGTCGGGCAAGTCTTTACTCTTTTTTGTATCGGAAAGTGAGTACTAATGTTAATTATGTTTATTGTGTAAAAAGAAATACCTTTAAGATATTACCAATTCGTGATAGGTCGGCGACGCACTTGCTAGCATTCTGGCAGTGTAAGTGTTTTTTTTTATAGAACAGGGGGCAAACGGGCAGGAGGCTCACCTGATGGTAAGTGATTCCGCCGCCCATGGAGTGTCCATGCCATGTCTCAATGCCAGAGGGCTCGCGAGTGCGTTGCCGGCCTTTGAATGCCATAAATTTATATATGGGCGGTATAACTTAACAAAAGGCGAGCCTACTGCCTTTTCCCCCCTGTTCTATAAAAAAAATAGATATCAACTTGTGTTAGTTACGGTAGAAATATTTTTTTATTTTATTTAATACTAGTAGACTCGGCCAAGCGTTGCTGTGGCTAAGATTTTTGTTATATTACATAGTAGTAAACTATTCAAGAGAAAAGGCAGGAGAACACCAATCCACCAGGCTTTTTGGTGGTTATGGCATTAAATTGTAGCTTATGTGAAACGTTGGTAATTATTTTGATAAGGATCAATACCTAGGTACGAATAAAGAGCCTTTTCTAGCGGTGGTATTTTAATAAAAAAATTTAATAAAAGGACGCTTATTGTGACGTAACTATAAAAGATAAAGACATGCTGTCGCGACATTTTTTATAGATAGTGATGTGTCCTGAAAAATTGTAATACATCATTTTGTTCTTTCTATCATTAATAGTTTTCGCAGCGCACACGATTGAAGAAGTTTTTTGTATATTTTTTTACACCTTGGGTTAGATTATTCAAGTTTTAGTAAGCATCCCTAATTTTTTTGAAAATGAAACATAGCCTATGTCACTCGGGAATAGTGTAGCTTGCCAACGGTGAAAGAATTTTTGAAATCGGTCCAGTAGTTTCGGAGCCTATTCATTTCAAACAAACAAAAAATCAAACCTTTGCTCTTTATAATATTAGTATAGATTACATCTGTCGAGACCGTTTCATGAACTTGTGTCCGCCGCGCTTATTAGGAAGAAGATAATGTTACACCTAAGTTAGAAATAATAATAATAAAATAAAAAATACTATTAATTTGTATTACTATTTTATCTGACGTACTAATCTATTTTAAGAAAATTAAGGAATTAAAGTGTAAGGTACAATTAAAAGATTTTAAAACGAAATACAAAATGTCAGTGACAATTTTTTCTATGAAATTGTATTGCATTATATCGAAGAGCCTTTAGAGTGACTAGTAAAAATACTTTCAGGTCCATCCCTCGCACCATGATCACATAATAAACCACTCAATACCAGAAAGCACATTCCGGTGTATAACAGTCGCGATAATCGCTGTTTCCCTCTTCATCAGCCTTTTGTTGCCGAACGTTGAGTTAGTTCTGGGTTTGGTGGGATCTACTATCGGTGTTTTGGTGTGTGTGGTGTTCCCAGCCGCTTGCTTTATTAATGTCACGTTTAAGAATACCAACGAACGGGTGTTGGCTAAGGTAAGTTTATAAATGTTGGAATTTACGTAAAACATCTATAGAAACTCCTTTTTTTTAAATGTATGTACTATAGGTACAGAATTTCTAGTAAATTACTCATTATATGTAATGCATATTGTACTAATTTTATTGTATTTCTCTCTTAAATGGACTAAAAATCTCTTATTTTAAAGTGTAATGTAAATGGACCACATCAAGATTCAACGAATATTAGTGCAGTTTAATCTAATTCTTGTATAGCGAAAGTAAATGCATCTAAGATTAATAAATAAACTGTGTTTGTATATAAGTTTACAGTTGTACTGGGATTAATAATACTTGTACTTGGCACATATGCAAACTTACAAGCAGCAGAAAACACGAGAGACAAGTATGACGATAAATTCATAACACAAGAAAAAATCGATAAAATTGTTGAAGATTTCTTTGAGAAAATGGAGAAAACAGAAGGTAACGTTATAATTATTCGTCTTTAATAATAAATATTAAGTTTAGGCTAAAATATTATTTTTGTTTTTTATTCAGGAATACCTAAACCCCAAGAAATTGAACCCAAAAAAGATGAAAACAACAACGATGTAAAAGATTCAGTAGCCTTACCACCAAATCCTGTACCACCTGAGTCACAGTCAAATGAGAAACCTAAATCTGTAATTGAAGATAAAAAAGACATTATTCCTGACGACAAAGAAAAAGAACTGAATATAAAAACATCGGATGAGCAATTGCAAAATGGAAAAGCTATAGACAAAGAAAAACAAAATGGCCAAGCAACTCCTAACGTAGTAAATAATGAAGAAGTTAAAGACATTGAAGAGAAGGCTAAAGAAGTAAAATCACACCAAGAAAAAGTCGACATGGATAAACATAAACAATTAATGGAAACAATCAAACAACACGGGAAGGAACAAAAAGAGTTGATAAAAGAACAAAAAGAAATATTAGATAAACTAAGAAAGACCAAAAACGAATTGGAAAAGAATAAAAAGGATAATGATAATGAGGAAACTAAAAAAATTGCCGTAGAGAGCATTCAGAAGATCGCTAATATGGCGATACAGAGTTTGACTGGAGTTTCGGATAAACCACTTGAGGTTAAAGTTGACAAGAAACCCGAACCAAAATTGGATGATGTAAACATTTTGAAGAAAACTGCAGAAAATTTAGACGCAATCAAAAACAGAGAACATAAAGAAAACCCTGTTAATGTTAAAGAAAAAATAATAGAAAAAGAAGTTCAGAAACCAATCAAAGATAATTATGGTGAAAATTTCGAGTCAATAAAAGTACGCGCCGAAGAAGCAAAGATAGATTTAATAAATAAAAAAAAGCCTAACGATACTCCTCCGCTACCTCCGAAACAAGAGACGAATGACAATATCAAATCGAAACACTCGCATTCCCCTGATGAGCCACAATCATACAAACAAGGCGAAGACCAACTGCCAATTAAATTAAAAAACAGCGTCGGCAGTGTTCCTCTAGCAATAGCTTTGAGCGAAAGTTCTAAAATAAACAAGAATTACCAACCGAAGTTAGTCGAGCAAAATGGTACAAAAAATGTAGAAAACGTTGATACAATATCTGTAGAAAGACAAAAGCGAGAAGTCATTGTGGAAGTTGAAGACAGGGAGATTTGTGAAAATTTGATAAACAAAGAGGTAGAACACAGTGAATTTTTGCCAAAAGTGGATTTAAATAATGTTCTTTCCAATTTGCAACCGGTACATCACATAAGATCTCTAAAAAGTTACAGTGAAGAAAAAGAAAATCGATAAGTTTTATCCTTACTTAAATTATTTTAATATTAATTCAGTCATTGTATATTAATTGTGTATTTTTATAGTGTATTAAAGGTACAAAATTTCAATCCAATATAAAATGTAACTAATGGATAGATTTTAAAATCCAACACGTATTTCCAAAAAAAATTGAAATGAAGAAATTTTGTAAATAATGTTTTTATTGAGACATAATTTTTGTATCAGAAATGAAATATTAAAATACCGTTTCATAATAATCCTACATTCTTTTGACTTGAGTATTATTGAAGGTAAATAATTTATTTATACAAAAAGCTAGTTTGTTTAATATTTATGATTTGTTTGATGAATTTGCATTTATTTATTTAAGGAAGTTTAGCCCATTATTGTTTTATGAAGTATACTCCTTACTCATAAAAAGCTTCGACGTCTCAATTCTCTCATTACAGAGCACAAAAGCGACATTTTAAATAAAATGATAGCAACAGCAAGTTGAGAAGCGTTTATAAGTAAGGAGTTTAAGGGTTGACTATCGATCTTTGATCTCATTTTCGTGAGAGCTGGTTTTACAATTATTGTTGGATATTTTATTGATTGATTATTGTTAGTAAAACAAGTATTAAATTGTTAGTGGAAATAAGTTTCAACATTCTATTTCGGCCCTATTTAAGAAATAATTTTTATTTACAGTTGCGCTCTAATAGAAACGTCTTCCGAGATATTTTTGAGTTGCTCGTAAATAATGCTCATGCCTTACTGTGGTCCATAATTAATGCTGTTTGATCTGTCAATCGGAGGCAAATAAATAAAAGATTTAAGAATAGCCAAAAACTGGACTGATTTAATTTTATCTAGCCATGCTTATTACTATTCAGTATATATCAACTCATTTGCAAGTATTTTGTACTAAAATGAATATAATTCCTGTAAAACTGGCGCTTATAAAGCTTTCTTGATCATGTTTTAGGGGTGATATTTCTAGTTATAAATCATGTATGTGATCGCTTGACTGAGTGCTAATAAAGTATTTTAATATTTATGTAAATCGTATTTTTATTTAAATCTTTAATTCCCTAATGCCAAGTCTTCTACGGGTAAGTATTACGTAAGCATTATACGGGGGTCTTTGATTTTCTTATTTGGTGATTACGTCACCAGTACCTAATTATTTGCTTTTTTACACATATTACCCACACATTGTCTATGCTTGAAAACGAAATGCATTTCCGAGGATTCCTACAAAAAATTAATACGTTACAAGACTGCTATTGTTACATTAATACATACCACAGGTTTAGATTGTATTATTTTGTAACTAACTTAAAAACAAATGCATTCGGACTGATATATTTACTATAAACAATGGGTTAGGATTTTATTAATGCGTTGAATATCAAAAGAGAAATAAAAAAAAAGTATTTAATTGACTAATATTATATTACAAATCCACGTCGCCCAACATTATAAATTAAATTAACCTAAGTATTATTCTTGAACGTCTTGCTTCTTCTCTGCGACCTTTCGAGTTCTGTAAAGAATAATTCACTAATGTGATAAACGTGAAATTAAAATTGTAATAAACTAAATGCCTAAAAGTCCAACTTACGTACTGTTTTATTTATTATTTTAAACTAATCGATCTGATAAAATATAATCAGTAGAAGTGTAAAAAAATACCAGAAAACGGTTATAAAATAAAGAAATCAGTGTCGCTACAACCTCTCAGATTTCTGAATCTATTGCATGATAATTTTTCAATCTAATAGGCGAGTAGGTGATCGGCGGTCGCACGCGGAAGCCACTATGCCAACACTGCTCAACACAATTATTAATATTCAGAAATTCGCGGAAACAATCAAATAAACTACGGACATGATTTTGACAACTATTAAATTACGAGTAATTTGTAGTCAAACATACATTTAAGAAATCTAGACCAGTGATTGAACTAATCTACTTGGATGCCTAAATAAATCACAATACTCAATATTCAATTTCAAAAAGGTAATTTCATGTACCTTTTGCCCGGTTCTGGAGTGTTAGAAGATTGTATGGAAACTCTACGCGTGCTTCGACGGGTGGGAGTGCTCACACTAGTATCCGAACCCGCGGGAGAAGCCGGGTTACTTTCTATGTCTCTCTGAAAATTTTATAATCATGTATTTGTTAAGTGAAATAAAAAACCGGCCGGTTGCGTAAAGCTCCGGAGTTGTAAAGCATATACGGGAGCGTTCAAGTATTTACGTAACAGTTTGGGTTTTTGTAAAACGTTACGATGCGGGGCGGGGTTTGAATTACGCGTTATTGATAATATTATTTTCGACTTTTCAGTACTTTACACCACATAATGGTAACTTTTAGGTATAAAGAGTCACTAGGTGGTCACGAAATGTTTGACTATACTTGGGTACAGAAAAACGTTACGGCGCGTTACATGGGGGAGGGGGTCAATAGTCTCCAAAAATTGCGTGACGTAATACTTGAACGCTCCCTAAGTTGACCACTAGAAGACTTTCAAGAAATATAAGACACGTTTTGAAAACAATTGTACACCTTTCATTTACTTTGATTAATTTTTCTATATTCTATACGTTTACATAAACTCCAGTTGGCATGTCTGCAATAGATATGACAGTTATTTTAGTAGGAGACAAATAAAAATGCCAAATATACATTTAAATGAATCTTAAGCTGTGGTAGGAAACTCAAGTTCAATATAATTAAAATGGATATAAATGCGAAAATTTCAAAAAAACTTTACCTTAACATCTGTACTAGCCCTTCGTCCTTTGGGCGTGTGTATGGCTTGAATGGCGCGTGTAAACGACGCGCGTCTTCCACGAGTGGGCGTGCCTAAGGGAGACTCTGCCCCTGGGTCACCTGGAAAGGTTAATGTACCTTACGCTTGTATATTTTGTAAAAACTAATTTCTATTTGATCTCGTATAGCAATTGTTACTTAAGAATATGAAAATGCCGATAGGGGACATCGGACAAATCTTTGCTTTTCATAAAAAAATTATCCTCTGGGCGAAGAGTTTATTGCCAGTTCTTCTCGTCCCTTCTACGCCCTTGATTTGAGAACTGGCTGTTAACGTAAAATTAGAATCATTTAATATGTATTTCTTTATTGACGTTCATAAGTGTTCATTGTGTAACCTAAATGAATAAATGAATTTGAATTAACAACGCTGAGTACAATATTGACGGGGTCGTAGTCAAATGACTTTAGAAACGGTAGCCAGTTTTAATGGAAATCACCTTGTGATAAAAACTTTGTGAAGTAATCATTGCCCTATATCGTAATTAAAATTGTTTAAGCAATAATGTTGAAATGTTTTTAATGTCGATATTCTATTCAGAAAACGTTTTAAAGAGGACAGAATAAATAATAAATATTTAAATTTAAATTATGAAGAAATCTTTTTCTTCCTATTTCTTAGTGCACTTACCAGCGACTACATCGACGGATGAGCTGCGACCGATTCTAGCAGGTTTCACCACATTCTTAACCTCCGACATCGCGCGTCTGCCTATATTACATACGAATGTTTAGAAAAAATCGTGACAAAAATACATATCTTGGAATAATAATAAAAGTACATAATATCCAGCGCAGAAAATTAGAAGTTTTATAATACACTAATGAAATACTGAAGCTAGGCAATATGATAGGTAGGTCTAATGCAAAAAGGTTGTACATAGAGAGATCTCATGTAGCCAGCGATAAATGGTGAAGTTTTTTTTCTTGTATATGAAAACCAAAAAATAACAATATCAGCAAGTTTATAAATTTCCTATATAATAATATTAAATTTCCTAGAAAATGTATAACTTTTCAACTTTTTCAAACTTTTCGCAAACTTATTTGCAAACGCGTAGATTAGGTTACTGACTTATTCAACCAATCAGAGCGCACACGCCGTTTGGTTATCGCTGACTTATTATTTTACGCGTGAGTTCGGTAAGTTTATCAATTAGCGAACATGTGGGCGTAAAATAATACAATTTATCTGCTTAGATTCCTACGAAAGTTTATACTTGCGGATTTTGTTATATTCCGGATACATATATATATATTATTTGTCAAACTATTTGCATACTAACCAATGGCCCTACAACCATTTAGGTCTGGGCCTCAGATGTCTGTATCAGTTCAGTGATCATTTTTACAATAGGCAAGTAGATCAACCTGTGCCTGACACACGCAATCGACTTTTAGGTCTAAAGCATGCCGGTTTCCTCACGATGTTTACCTTTACCGTACGAGCAAGTGTTAAATGTGCAGATAGACCAAGTTCATTGGTGCACAGCCGGGGATCGAACTTACGACTCCAGGAGTGAGAGTCGCACGTTGAAAGCGTTTCTCGACGATTAAATTTATGAATAAATAAGTAACATATTATGGAGAAAAACTATTTTACGATAAAGGACATGATCACGTTGCCTACTAAGGGACATACATACAAAGCTACTTACCGCGAAGTTTGGTAGCGGAAGATGCAGGTGAATTTTGATACTCCTCGCGATCTGGGGTGCCTAACATTAGTGAGAGCTATTAGTTTCATGCACTGTACATACGTATTTCTAGTGTTTATGAAGCTGGAATTAAACTAAGGGTTTAAGCAAAGCGTGGTTGAAAATTTTAAACTAGGAAAGGATAAATATTTATAATAGTAAATTTTAGTGACGGGCCAATAATAATTTAAACAGAATTTTGAACCTTATGTGGCTTGCATAGGTGTTGTTATAGCGTGAAATAGCATATCAAAAGCGACGTCTAAAGCTGGCCATAGTCTTATCGCATGTTGCAGTCAAGACCGACTGCTTAGAGCAGTTGTGTTCGACCGCAAAATAATACTGATGCGAGTTCATTTACAAGATGGATTTCGATGAAAAAACACTGCTACTTGTACTATTATTACGCAAGCGCAGGCGTAGAAGACACCGTAGTATGTGGGTGCGTCCAATACTACAATCAAGAGAACAGCATGGAATATTTCATACTTTGTATCCCCAGCTGAGAGAAGACACTAAAAAGTTTTTCAACTACTTTAGAATGTCCGTGGTTTCATTTGATGAATTAGTTAGTATTTTATTTTATTTGAGGGAGTGGCGCGCTGTCGGCAGCAACCGCTTATAGCTGTCCGTGTATGGTGGGTCCGGCAGCTCTAAGCAGTAGACCGCACGGCGAAACTCGACCGCAGAGCGACTGCTCCGACCGCTCAGAAACTGGTCGTGCGGTCCGTGTATTGCGGATATGAATTTAGTATGGAAACTGCAGATCGCCGTGACCGCTTAGAGCAGTCGGTATCGACTGCAACATGCGGTCCGTTTATGGCCACACTAATAGTCAACTAATAACTAAGCTATACACAGTGCACATTTACATGTAATAGAAAATACATTAAATTTTAGGCTTTTTGGAAGTAATCACTATACATGCTATACCAAATGTAAAGCGCTGTATTGGTAACAATTTGCCTATAATTAAAAAACATTTAGTAAATATTCATTTAGTAGTGTACTACTAAATCTTAGGTCAGTAGAATATAAAAGCAAGTCAAAAACAAATATAAAAATGAACCTTCATGATCAGTAGTATCGAGTTGTCTAAGAGGATCAGATTCCTGCGCACGCGTCGCACGCGCAGGCGATAAGACCGAACGCTCTAACACAGCTTTTTGGTGACGAGTTATTCTGAAAATAATTTTTATTATTAAACAGTTTGAATGTTATTAAATTGATCACATACTCGGTGTGCAAAATAGGATTCCGAACATATTTAGATTTACTATGGCGCGGAACTTAGCGGTTACTATATCCTCATAGACCGACAACCAAAAAATTCCGGTCTGTAAATTAATTTCTTAACAATAAAAAAGGGATCATATATATTGTACTAGCAGACCGGCCAAGCGTTGCTGTGGCTAAGGTTTTTGTTATATTACATAGTAGTAAACTATTCAAAATATTCGAAACTGTAGGAGAACACCAGTCATGGTAGGTGGTAATGCCATTAAATTGTAGCTTATGCGAAACGTTGGTACTTTCAACACAGCGCCATCTGTTAGAATTGTGACTATCAAATAATAAACAAATATTTTGCAATAAAATAATATTGCGGGTATAAATTGAGATGTAAGCTATCCTATCTTTTAAGATGGATCAAACTACACACGGTGTGCAAATTTGATTGATATCGGTTCGGTAGTTTAGGAGTCCACCGCGGACAAATAACGTGACACGTAATTTATATATATTAAGATATGGAAGAGATCGCTGGAAAGCGATAAGGCCGCCAGTTGCCTTTCCTTTTCATGTAATTATGTTAATTTTTTATATTTTAATGCAACAAAGTGTAAATAAATAAATATATAATTAGGGACTAAATGCTAAGCATAACTTCTCTCTCACTCTTTATCCGGAAGTTTTATGGCCAGGGTAACGAAGTTTCTAGAAGATTATAAACTTATTTCTAAATTACCATTATAATATTAGAGTGCATTCTACTTTAAATAACACTTATGCAAAGAACGACACGATCGGAGGAACTTTTAGTAAAACTGAAAAAATGGCAATAAACCTTATTGAGTGGGGGCGCTCCAAGACCTATGAATATCTTACCGTCTTGAAGTAGAGTATTCCTCAACATCTTTAGTAGAATCTTCCACCTCCGGTATCACAGTCAACTCCGTATTAATAATCTTCCGTCCCTTTCGCTCTTCGCTTGCTTTGGCAGATTTGCTTGAGCTGTCAGAGACGACGCTAGAGTTATCATCGTCTTTCTTTAAACTGGCACGAGTGCGGCGACGAGGTGTTAATTCTGTAATAATAATACTCAGTCAGTGGACAATTCTCAGAATCAGTGGAATAAATTAGGACCAATAAAAAAAAATTGAAATTTTAATTTTCTTCAAATGTCATTTATGTTGCGTCATTGAATATATTACATAGAGTTAAGTGCTTCTAGCACACCAATCACCACTTAGTAAACACACAAATATAATACGAAATTTACTTTTTAGCGTTATGCCCCAATAGATGTGGAATTGGTCGGGCCATATTGGAAGATGAACAGATATAAGATGGACTTTAAAGATAACTATATTGAAAGGACCAAGGGGACGAAGAAGAAGAGCGCGCCATAGAATAAGGTGGATAGAAGATATAGAAGCGTTAGCAGGATGGGAATAGTTAAAGAAAGCTTCTTCTCTCATCACTCTTGACAGAGAGGTGGTGATCTCTATGTAGAAGAAGCATTCAAATAGGCAAATATGATGGTCTTCACGACGTTTCACCATTGTAGCCTTTTAGAGGTCATCCTGCTACACTAGTGCATTCCACCTTCCCTTAGACCATAAGGAGTTATATGGACTGATCACCACGCCAAGAAACGTGTCCGAAAGAAAATATAGCTATGGACAGAGAAATTGAGAAAATTTTGAAAATGGTTCTCAAGGAAGTTAGGTTAGCGAGTAACAAGAAGAATATATCAATATAACAAATTTAAACTGTATATTTTTATGAATTGTAAAGATAAGAAATAATGGGTATTATTATTGAACACGCATTTCATTTGCCGCTCCCTTTTGACTCACTATAAGACACCACATAACCTGACTGTTCCTTAAGTTGGTATACCTCATTTGAACCTAATCACGATATGACGTTGCTGAGAAATTTGTTGACAAACAGATTACAGCACTATGTGCTTGGAAGCCTAATAGATCATCATACTGAAATATAATTAGGTAGTGCAATATACACTTTGTTTGGAAGTCGGTTAAAATTAAAACCGTAATTTCTTGTATCCTGTCAGAACTAATAAGTGTAAAAAACTCAGTGGCGCTACAACCTTTTGAGTTCTGGGACTCAGATTTCTGTATCTATTTCATGATCATTTGTCAATCTAATAGGTGGCCAGAACCCTGTGCCTGACACACGCCGTCACCTTTTCTGTCTAAGACAAGCCGGTTTTGTCACGATGTTTTCCTTCACCGTTCGAGTGAAAAATGCGCACATAGACAGAAAGTCCATTGGTCCACAGCCGGGGATCGAACCTACGACCTAATGGATGAGAGCCTCTAGGACTGCACTCACTTTTTTTGAGATTAACGGATGAAAAACCAATCTAAAAAATCCTTTAAACGATATTTCTAATGGAGCAGAGGCAACTAATCCAAGATTGACAAATTTCGTTAAATGCACAAATTTAAAATAAAATTACCTTCAAGCGGCATCACTTCGTCATCCTTTTCGGACAATTCCCTTGAGGCGCGCCTTGTGAGTATTCTCCTTTCTATATTTGGCGTTTTCGAACGCCTTCTTGTTCTTGGCGAATCAACCTCGGGCGTTTCTGGAATATTCTCCGTTATATCGATACTTGTTTTCGGAGGAGTTTTTTCTTCGCTTTGCATTGACTGTCTTCTGGTCCTTGTGGGTTTTTCCTCTTCCACGTTTGTTTCTTGCCTGGATGCATTCGACGCTGTTGAACCCCTACGTTTACGCGGCGTTGTTAGTTGTTTGATTGCCTTATTTTCTGTTTCTTTGACTTCTTCGATTTTCTCTTCTTTTTCTGGATTTTCCTCTGATTTGATTGCTTTCTCTTTGTTTTTATAATCACCCTGGCCTACTTCTTTTTCAGTTAGTGGAGTGACAACGTTTTCATCCATTTTAATATCTTGTGTTTGCAGTTCTTCTTGGTGTTGTTCACTTGAAGTTTGTTTATGTGTTTCATCTTTATTTTGCGTATTTTCATCGTCGATTTTAGTTTCAACATCGGCTTGATCTACCAAAGATAATGTATATGTATAAAACATAGGTAAATTTTTATACCAGCAGTGTCTATTATGTTACCAGAATTGTTTTTAATTTGATATGATAACAGGGAATACCACAAAAGTAATATTCATATAGAACTAAAAACAAAATTACGTAATATAATTAAAGCGTAAATAATACTGAAAATACATATTACCTATATCCATGGGTGAATCTTTATTTTGGTTTGATTCTTCGACATGACTCACTATAGATTGTTCAAATTCAGAATTGTCATCTGTCATTAGCGACATTTGAGCTTGATTTAATGGGTCTGTGGAAACCTCCATACTATCCGATATTTGAGTGCTGTCAGCCTTTTCAGGTACAATATCTTCTTCAGCTTTTTCTTTAGATATATCCTCAACCTTTTCAATTTCGACGTCTGCCATTTCAACAATTTCAGAAGGAGGTTCTATTATTGGTATTTCGGCTTGATTATCAATTTGCAACTGATCGAGATCGGAATCGGAGTCCTCTATAGATATAACATCTTCTTCACCATCATTTGAATCATCCTGCTAGAATATGTATTTTTAATCAAACTCAAAAGCACAAAAACTATTATGCAATGAAATAAATACAAATAAAAAAATTGTAACAAAAACATTAAAATGTATCTAATTTAAAATAAAAAAAGTTCTGACCTCTTCCGAACTGTCGGATTCATCGTCGTCGCCGGATTCCTCAGGAGACTCCACTTCAACAACTTCATTGCCTGAGTCTGTTTCCGCTCGACATTCATCATCAGATAGATCGCCCTCGATTTCATTTATCTCTCTTTCTATTTCAACGATTTTGTTCTTCTCTTGCTGTATCACTTTTGCATCTCTTTCCACTTTCCAATCTTTGTCTTCGGTTTCACTATCATTTGTCATTAAGCTAGACTGATTCGAAATAAGAATGCTGTTATCTTCTAACACAGAGTTATTTGTATCCAAAGTTTTGGGTGGCTTAGATATTTCTACTTTTTGGGCCTCCTTTGCACTGGTGTCTATGGAGCTATCGTAGCTATGTAGTACTGATTTACCAATATCTTCGTTTAAGGTGGTGTATTTTAGTAAATTGTCTTTAGCACTGTCGTCTTTACTTTCTTGGATGCTAGATTGTTCAGCAACGCTGCTCTGATAGCTGTGCAAAACTGACTCATCTGTCAAGCCTGCATGAATACTAGTAAAAGCGGGTACTTTGATTTCCTCGTCGGTATTCTTTTCGGTTTGTACAGAAATACTTTCATTTGAACTTTGTAAAATGGATTTGTTAACTATAGGAGAAAATGACATATCCATTATACTAGATATTTGTTTGGAACTCTTAACAGGAGTACACTCAATAGTGCTTTCAGATATTTCTTCAGTTATTTCAATTTCTTCAGTCTGTTTTGTTTTAGCAAAAGTATTCGCTTCTAGAACGATTCTCGAGAGCGATTTTCGACTCTTCACTATAATTTCCTTTTTCGGCGACATATGTTTATCAGGAGTTTTTGAGCGGCTTCTAAGAATGACAAAAAAAAATATAAAAAAAGAAGAAAATGAGCTTCAGATGTGATGTGATGAAAGTTACCTTAGATTTCTCGGATTTTCTATAACTGATTGTTCCGTTTGTGTTTCTACCTCTACAGGTGTTTTTGAACTTCTGAAAAGTAATTCTAATATGTTAAAATTTTAATTCATGTTTAAGAATTAAAATCGACGTGCATTTAAAAAGCTAATACTGCACATACATAACAAATATTATTATCTACTTCTACTACTAACTATTATAATATTACTAGTACTTCTTTAATTATTACATCTGTTTTTTGATTCTCTTATTCATCAATTAAGGAACTGAACGAGACTTTTAGTACACTTTTCCTAAAGTGAGACTTCCAAAGTGAGAAAAATAAATCTGTATGAATGATATATATCTGAAATTCACGATAATACACTCACCGAAGGTTTTTCCGAGGCGCTGGAACAGGCAATTCCGTAGTTGGAGACTCTTTGATTACTTCAAGGCGTGGCGATTCTATGACCTTCTCTATTTTATCTGGCGTACGTAGTCTGGTTCTAAACATAGTAAGAATTATAATAAAAAAAGTAATTTGGAGTCAGGTTTTAAAATTATGTTAACGGAAGGGAGCCCCCCTTCCGTTAACATTTTATCAGTAAGTAAATAAGTAACAGTTGTAGATAAAAATAATCGTTAGTTATCAGAATTTAAAAAACAAAGTTAAGATTAAACGTAGTGTGAAGAATGTTATACTATACATACCTGATCGGTTTGGACAACAAAGTCGAAGTTGGGTGCGGATCAGACTTTAGCTCAAGTTTAGGCATCTCTGGAATGGCGGGTAACGGCGACGTGCGAGGACTTATTTCAGGTGTACGAGAACGGCTTCTACATAAATATAGAAACAGTAGAAGGACTCGTAAGCATTATTAGTACAGTGACAATTATTATTTAATTTATAATATCTGTAGAATCTTAAGTAGAATAACTAAGGTAGCAGATGTCACAATGAAAATAAATAAACTTAACTGGAAATGGGCAAATGTCAAGATGAACAGAAAAATGGAGCAACAAAGTATTTAAAAAGAGGAAGAAAATTTTGAAGGTAGATAGACTAGATTAAGAAAACAGGAGGTGGTACATGGCAAAGAGTGGCACAATGCATACAAAAATGGCGGGATGGAATGAAGGAGGCCTTTGACAAAAGTCACACCGATACCTAGGAATGAATAGGAATATTTTATGTAAAGTATCTGAAAAGGCTATTGTTATAATAAACCCACAACAAGGAATATAATCCGCCAGCCCTACTTGGCCTGCTTAGATGTATATGGCATACCAAAGTTTTAGTTTTACCACATAATTATGAATACCTCTTAAGATTTTTGGTTTAAACTTCTCGCCAAGGATTTATTGGTGACAAAGTAACGTAGATCAGTAACTATATGCTACCAATAAACTATGCTATTGTAAGCAAATTTGAAAACGATTTATGAATTCACGATTTCCTTAGCTTAAAAGTTAATTTGTTTCTAAAAATTCTTTCACAATACCTGTACTTTCCGACACCCTATAAGGTCTAAAATTACACTTTTATACAATTAAATAATAGTTACAATTATAATATAATGAAATTTCAATCATAGTGTCATTTGTGACAAGGGCCCTTTTTAAAAAGTCAGTTTCGAACGAAAAAGTATGTATAAACAAAAATTAATTTGACAGTAAATACACTGTGTGGGAATTAAAAGACTTACCAGAATTTCTTGGTTATTATGGGTTGTCTATAATTGCAATCAATAGTATGGTCAACATAATAAATCACATGATGACTATCAGTTTTACCACCAAAGTTAGATAAACTTACAACATCGATTCAAGTAAATGAATTTCAAACATATGTAAATCGATTTTTAGGTCCTGTTTTAGAAGAAAAAGGGTACATCGGCGCAACATTGTACCGTTCAGTTCTCTTTAGAACACAAATTGTGTATAATTATTATTACGATAAATAAAATATTATGTCCACTGATACATGGCTATTACATTGGCCTATTAAATTGGCTCTACTGATAGAGGAGTTTATGTAGTTTTTGTATTGTTATACAAACAACAACAGGTAAATAATGATTACAGGTAATAATTAACGTTCCGCCTGAGCCGAGCGTGCAAGCGAGAGCGCGGAACGTGACGCCCGATAGAGAGGCACAATCGGCCGAAGCATTTGGCTAGTGACGCATTGTAAGTTGTTAATAGCACATTGTTACTTGTAATTGAATCTGTATAATTTAAGTAGAAAAATATATTTGAATTAGCAAATATATGTTTATTTATAAAAAAATAATAATTTCCAATTAACTTCTTTGTATTATTCAAAATAATGATTTAGTAATAATAATCCAATGAAATTATGTTTTCTTATGACGTTTTTTTAATTCGCATAATTTTTGTCCGAGTCATGGCTACTTGTATATTGGAATTCAATAAGCAATATGTGTAATTTTTATTAATTTTTCCACAACAAAGAATCGTTAACAGAAATATAATACAACTTAAACAATAATTAAACTTTCAGTAGCACCTTTCATTATAGAATAAGGTGGCAAAAAAACGACGTGACGCCGAAAAAAGGCAGTCATCGCAGGCCATGGGCGCCCATTTAGTGGTTGCGTTGCCGGCCTAGGAAGGAGTATACTTATTTTTAAACAATTGTAGGTCATATCTCTCAGGGAAGACCCCTACCAAAGTCGATTTCAAAGTTCGCTAGTTAGCAAAAGAAATGTCTTGAGAAGCGGATCGTGGTACCTTTAGTAGAAAACGTAAATTTCGCCTTACCTTGCAGTCCTTGTAGAAAGAAGTGGTGCGATGGGCGAGTCATTTCTTTCAGGTGTTGTAGTGCGACTTCTAAAACGTTTATGTTAAATTAATTAAATTGTGTATAAATAAGATTAGATAATTTTTATTTCTTAATGACTTCGATAAACGTTGTGTATTAGTTAAAATTTTTTATGTTTTATTACTAGATCTTAGAGCCGTTTCACTTTCGTTTCTTACAAAAATGTTTGATATCTATTATTTTATATTTCTTATCCTAAAACTTATTTTTGTTATCAATAAAAAAAGTTTTTATTTAAAAAAAGGTTTTGACTTTATAAAAAAGGTGTGTCGCGATTACACACATAGAAGTGAAACTTCAAAGAGGAGAGAATATATATTTTTTTCCTTTCATCTAGGTTTTTAAAACTCCGGGGGTCTACGGGGGTCAAAATTTATTTTTGGCTAGGACCTTTCCGAGATATTTCAATCTAAAGCAAAAAATCGTCACTTGATAGTGGAAAGTGGAAACCACAAAACCAGAATAAACCAGTTTACGCTGTCCGCAGGTGCCACGTGCAGTCCGCGTCAGTCCTTACTTTAGAACATAAAGCACACATTTCATTCAAAAATTATAATTATTAGTTAATTGTTAAATTTTGTATTTGTTGATTGTTGTTATTGTTTGTTATTATTGTTATAATATTTGTTGAAGTGTTTAATTTGTGTGTAAGTGTTGCAACTTTATATTGTTAATTAAAAATGCTCAGTGTTAAAACATGGTCGAGGCAAGCCTTTACTTTCAAACTAAAGAAGTTTTGTACTGTTTGTACAAATATTTCGAAAATAGTGTTACGAGCAGTATTATGATCCATAATTAGTTCTATCAACGGAATTTCAATAGATCCGTCAGAAAGGTAGTATCAGAAACAAATTCACCTTCAATAGGAAGTAACATTTAAATCTCCTAAAAGAAACCAATCTAACCCTATTATAACATCACAATTATAGAAGAAAATTCATACTTCAATCAAATAAAGAAATTCCCACTTTGAAAACTTTCACCAAAATTAAAAGAAGATATGATTATAAAGGTTGTTCACACTTCGAAAAACGTCATTCTTAGGTTTTAATTGAACAAACAAAATACAAATTCTTATGGAAAAACAAATTAGATACTTGAATTAATTATTTGATGAAAATTGCTAATATTAACAACGCCACCAATTTTTACACGACGAAAATATATACATACATCACATACCCTTGAAATCTTGGTCAATGGAAGACTTAGGTTTGAAGAACATATATCGAAAAACCTTAATCATTGTTCATGCCGGTGGTATGGATGGCTTTATACAAATGCATTCTTATGTTTAAAGCCAACCAAAAAGTGGAATTACCACACATATGAACTATACAACTATTCAAGGTGGATTCAAACTCAATTAATACCCAACTTACAACCAAATAGTTTGTTGTTGTTGACAACGCACCATATCATAACTCAATACAAAATCCTCACGAATAGTAATTCTAGAAAACAGCAAATATTGACTGGCTGACATTGCGAAACATTGAGCATTCATCCACGTTGCTTAAGCCTCAATTATATGAACTGATTCTGCAAAACAAGGCGAGATTTGTAGATACAAGATAGACGAAATATTACGACAGCACGGTCATACTGTCTGCGTTTACCACCATACCATCGAGTTTAATCCTATAGAAAATATATGGGGGATAGTGAAAACATATGTCGCAAAAAGAATGTCGCAATGAATATGAAGGTTATAATGTCATTAGCTGAAGAAAATGAACGCCATAACTGTAGAGGAATGGAAAAAGTTTGTCTCATGCTATTGAGGAGGAAAACAAATTCAGGGTAGAGACAGCTTGACACAATTCAGAACGAATATAATTAATTTAAATAATTCATCTGATGAAAGCGAGGATGGGGATGATTGTGATATGCCTGGGGTTGATGAATTATTAGAATAAAACATTTATGGCCGGAGAACACCTAATTCATAACGTCTTCATGAAGTGAAAACCGGCATTCACTGCTTGTAATATTTGGAACTGGCTTATCTGCCTCATACAGTTCCATAGATTACAATGCAGTGGATACAATTTTCACGTCCGTATTAGTACGTAGTGCGTATGCGTAGACGTGTACGCATTTGGTGTGCTCCAGCCACAAACGTATATTACCTTTAAAAAATAAAAACTAAAAATAAAATGTTGTTTTTTTTTTATTTGCTGACCATACACTACTACAAACGCAAAAATTTCTCCAACTTTACCTGTACGTATATAATCCCGGTTTTTATATCCAAATGCGAACACATTTTACAATTAAATGTAATGCAGAAATACTACGACTTAGCCCCGATGAGTCGTAATAGATAGGAATCGGCTGATAATCTAATTTTAACTCTTCTTAATTAGAGTTTTGGATTTAGCTGATTGAGTCATTTTTAAAAGAAATTATGGGTACAATATTGTTTTGCTGAGATTAGGACCCGACTTGTGAGGATACTTTTGATCTATACACAATTACAGAAGCAAAGAAATTATTACCAATTATATACAAACATTTAAAAAAAAACATTTAAAAAAAAAAGATAAAGACAAAACAGCTTTTTTTTAAACTAAAAAACATAAAAATAATCTAAATTATTATTTATTACTTTAATTGCATTTCCCAATATTGTTTTTGGGTCATTACGACCTATTAACTAAATCAGTCGCGCTAGAACCTCTTTAGGTCTTGGCCTCAGATTCTTGAATCTGTTTCATGATCATTTTTAAGGCAAGATCAGCCTCCATTGCCTGACACACGCCGTCGACTTTTATGGGTCTAAGACATGTCGGTTTCCTCACGATGTTTTCCTTTACCGTTCGAGCAAATTTTAAATGCGCATATAGAAAGAAAGTCCATTGGTGCACAGCCGGGGATCGAACCTACGACCTCAGGTATGATAGTCCCAACACTGCTCTTTTTACATTATTTTATCGACATTTTAACTAATGCCAAAATAAAATTTTCCTTTACGAAAAACCCACTGTTTATTAAAAATAATTCATTAATTGACTTACTGTTTTTTTAAACTATTATTTAATTAAAAAATCATAAACAAACCTATTAAAAACCGGCGTGCTCTCATTGCCGTGAATGCTTCGTCTCCCTTTAGGTGTTTTCGAAACGAAACTCAACTCGACCGACGTTTCCCAATCATCTGTCCTTGTCACACTCGATTCCACACGTATATCTATCTCGCTCCTTTGCGTGTCGGCTTCAGGGGATTTCGTGTACGTGTACTTCGGGTTTATAAGCGTGATGGGTATATCCGCTATACTTTCGATAGAGGTATTTGGATCGTCGGATAAGCTGCTATTGGCATATATTGATAGCGATTTCCTGTAATACATGATAATAAAAAGTTTATTTATGCCAAAAGGGTTGTGACAAAATTCATGTATCGCTAGTCCCGACACTGTGTTGTGGGTAACTACCGTGGTACATGGTACATGTTTAAAACAGTTTAAAAAAAAAGTAATTTTAGTGTTACAACTATGTCTTATAAGACTATAAGTATGTGAATGTGTGAGTGTGTGAATGGGTGTGTATGCACATGTATTTGAGAGTGTACAACTGATATATATAATTTATATATATAATTTAATTTATTTTCTCATAATGTCAAGTCAAAAAGACATCTCGCAGCGACTCCAAGTCTTCGTTCGCTGTCTTCGCCGAATGCTGGGTATCTACTGGCCCGAGATTTCTAACGAGCAACTTTGGGAGCGTTTAGGAGCCCGATTAGCCAGTAGATCACGACGCAAGTGGAATTGGATAGGCCATACACTCCAAAGAGATGCCAATTCTATTCCTAAGGCACTGAATTGGAACCCGCGAAGAAAGTGAAACCGTCCCAAGCAAACCAGCAAACCTTCTATTTAACGCCAACTCTCTGTAACGTCAAAATACGCACAGCCCCTTGAGTGTCGTTATATAGAGTTTACACTGTATTTTGGTATCGTAAAAACATTAAATAATTTTTTTAAAATGATTGGTGGTTATTTCTTCTACCCCATACACCATTAAAATGCTAGGTAACTGACTTACATAGGTTAGAATTATTTTAGAAATATACTCAACTGTGACTCGAGACAGAAAATAGTTAATTTAAAAAATTCCCAGTACCTGGCTTTAACCGAGTCTTTATATAGCTTTTTAGGTGAGACCCTTTCAGCTGCAAACTTCTTTGGAGGAGATTCCAATTTTTGGGGTTGATCTGAATCCTGAAATTACAAAGTATATAAAACTTTGGTTAAATACGAAACAACGGACGTTAATAATAAATGTACAAATTTAGATACACTGATAAGGTTTATATAGCACATAACAAAATAGGTATATAACTGATCCTTACATAAAAGCAGTTATTTCAAAATCTGTATATAGATCTGTTAGTTATGAACTGCTCGGCTTCACAGTATTTAATTTTAAATGCTTTTAACAATTACGCCTGGTTTAATGAAATTTCGCCATACATATTTGTGGTCCTTCGAGCCGGATTCTAATCATCGATCTTTATGTATGACATATACAACCATAAAGCTTGCACATTTATGTATTACAAGTATACAGAATGGAATTAAAGTTCAGTATTGCTTTCTGATTTTTAAATTTAAATGTGAATATGGCAATAGACTACAAACCTCTTGTCCATGATCAGTTGTATCCTGCGAAGGTTGTATGGACACTGCTACCGGAGATTGAGTGGGAACAATTTCCGTCGGAGTCGGAATAGTAAATCTTAGATGTCTGAAAAATTTATATCTTATAAATTAAACTTGATTTTTTTATTTTATAAAAATAAAAAAATATATTGATGTGGGTACATATAGTTATGGTCTTACATTTCATAGAATTTAAAAATTTTATTTTATTGTATAATACAAAAACGCTAGCACAAAAATCTACTGCATTATTTCTAACAATGTAGAAATACATAAAAAATGAAATGATGAATTTACTTGTTAGTGGAGTCGCTGTAATGTGTGTGATTGCTGGCCGTTTCCATTTCCTCATCGCTTTCTCCAAGGTATCGGGATTCCGTTGGTGATGAGATGTCTCTCTCTTGGTATTCCAGTCTACGAGTCTGTTTATAGAGAATAACTTCAAACTATAAATTTCCAATATTAGAACAAAATTGAGATCTTTGTAAAATAGCGCTCTTTTTAATATTTTGGATTTGTATATATCTCATGACATATATTAAATATACACTATATAAAACGATTAATATATGTATTTGCAAGTTAAATATAGGCGATGAAATGAAAACTAGTCATAAGTCGTAAATTTTGAATTTTCAAAAAACGATTTTACCAAATATATTTAGGCACAATTTTTTTATATTCCAGAATTAATTTGACAGGATTAAGCATAAAACTTGTTACTGTTTGGTATTATAAAACAAATGTATCAATGGCGCTACAATCTTTTTAGATCTGGGCCTCAGATTTCTATATCAGTGTCACGATCATTTGTCAATCTAATGAGCAATTAGGCGATCAGCCTCCTGTGCCTGACACACGCGGTCCACTTTTAAGCAAGCAGGTTTTTTCACGATGTTTTGCTTCACCGTTCGGACAAATGCTAAATGCGCACATAGAAAGAAAGACGACGACGCTACTAGTATACTCTATTGTTGTTGGTTGGTTATTCACGGTTATATACAGAAATTTTTTAATCCGATAGTTTCATAGCTTTGTGACCAAAGAATGTAAGCAGAACCTGCATTAATTCAGCGTACTACGAATTAAAAAATCGTAATGCTTTTGCATTTCTGAAAAATTTTCTGGGAAAAAAATACTTCGTGATACCTTAAGTATACTATGCGGCGTTTCCGATCGTATATTATGTTTGGGGCTCTCGACGTGAGGCATTTCGAGTAAAGTGGAGATTTGCTCAGTCAGCTTGTGGCTCACGTTCAGCACACTTTTGTTCCTCGGTGTTTTAGGTGATAGATCCAGTTTCGCACGCTTCGCCGGTGTTGACTCGGATTGTTTTTCACGTATACTAAAAATATATTTAAAATAATCAATTGCTGAGCTCTAAGATAAGAAAAAAAGGTTTTATATGTATCAATCTTTGTGCTTGATTCGTGCTAATGTTTGGTTATAAAGTTGCCTATCTCGTGATGTTTTTCTTCGTTCGAGTACGAGCACACAACACAATCCATTGGTACACAGCCGTGTAGAAAACTATTTAAAACCCGTTGAATATTACAGATAATATTACGAGAAAACTAAAATCTTTTCTTTTTTATTTCAATTAATAACTTAATAAACTTTCGTAATTGTCCTCTTAATGTATATAAATTACGTGTCATGTTGTTTGTCCGCTATGGACTCCTAAACTACTGAACCGATTTCAATCAAATTTGATCAAAAAGCGGTTTGATCTAACTTAAAAGATAGGATATCTCTCAATTTATACCCGCAATACTATTTTATTGCAAAATATTTGTATATTATTTGATAGTCACAGTTCTAACAGATGGCGCTGTGTTGAAAGTACCAACCTTTCACATAAGCTATAATTTAATGGCATAACCACCAAAAAAGCATGGTGGTTCCATGACGGGTGTTCTTCTACCGTTTCCCTTGAATAGGTTACTACTATGTAATATAACTAAAACCTTAGCCACAGCAACGCTTGGCCGGTCTGCTAGTTTATTATATAGAAAAACACATCTTGTGCCACATTTTGTATGTTGTTTGCCTATAAGTGCTTGTCAATTTAAACATTGTATTTTATTTTTCTTGTACCAATGTATCAGTGTGCCGAGCGTTGTCAAGCTTTTATAAATTAATAAATAGACATCCGGACATCGTTACAAAGAAACGTCCGACGACGTCCGTGCCTGCACTCAGATAACTAGAAACACAGTTGCTACTCAGAATATTACTTTGCAACTGAACCATAGATTTAACTACCTTCTTAACCAATATCTATAAACATTTGCTAACCAACAGTGTGATTTTAAAGAAACCATAAGTATGAATGAACGACCGAATTCGGATTAATAGGAACTTGTTACAAAGTATTGATTAAAAACAGTCGCTAGTCGCTCGCTTTGCTTCTTGTATATAAGTCATACATATGTACTAACGTATGATTTAAATTCAAGGTATTTAAATTTTAATGAATCAATAAATAATAATCTGAGTGAATTTTTAAATAATTATAAAGTTACCTCTTCGCCTTATAAAGTTTCGGAGTACAAATGAACGGAGTTTCGTTAATATTGAGAGCCCGTTTAAGACCTTTCTTCATCGTGGGTTTGTTTATCCAAGTCTCACTTGCATTCTCAATTGCGTCCTTAAACAAAAATATATATTTCAATAAAAAAAATTGATAATAAAAATGTATTTCCAATAATATGGTACAAAAATGTTATGGTGGTACAATCGAAAGTTCGCATATTCTGCCACACATAATGATGTGCTTATTTGTCTTAAAAGGATGATTTTGGTTTCACCTATAATTGGGCATTTCATAAAACGATAAATTATACGATCCGGCCTCGACATTAACATATTAATAATTCAACGGCGCTAAAACCCTAAATGGGTCAGATTAAACTTTTTTTTGATCATTTATATAATAGTAGGCGATCAGCCTTTGGTAGATGCCGTTTCCTCACGATTTTTCTTTCACTGTACGAGCGAGTGTATGCACACATAAAAGTCCATTGGTGCCGAAGATCGAATCTACGACCTCAGGGATGAGAGGCGCACCCTGAAGCCACTACCATCACCGCTCTCTCAACGAAAGTATAAAGATAAATAACATCTACAGTCTGTCTCTTTTCATCCTAGCCCAAATTCAATTCGACAGATAGAGGTGAAAGACAACTTAAGGATGCACAGGCATCGCAACCGCGCTGCCGGCCTTTTAATTGGTACGCTCTTTTCTAAAGTACCTAAGTCGAATGAATTAATTCAATTTATGTTTAAAATATAATAGTGATGCCAAGTAATTAAGAATATCAAATAGTCGTATTAACGGTTTTAAACTGTAATTATGAGTTTGGCGTAATATATGAGCTCTGTGACATATAATGACAATGACAGCTGACAGTAGCGCCATTGCTCCGACATAAGACCATAGAAATCAAATAAAGAAATACCTGTATGAACGATGATTTATATGTAAACGTGTTTTGGGGTGACTTCGCCTTCACGTACACTGACATAGGCTTGGGTTTACGAACTGAAAAAATAATAAATAATTAACTACAAGCATTTTTTGTTTAGTTTTTGGCCTGAAAGATATCGCTTCAAAACTCTCGTTACCCTCCAAACCTGTATTCTTTTTTTAAAATTCCTATTAGCCTACCCCCGGGCCGTAGGAAGAACTAGCTAGATTGAAATAATGGGGGAATTTTTTACTAATAATAACAGTTTTTAACTTAATAAAAATGCTTGGTTTCTATTAATTTCTTATATGGGTTGCTGTAAACCTCTCTAAAACGTTAATCAAACTTTGATCGAGTCTCAAGAGCTGTTAAACCATTCTGAAAGTTCGACATATTTGACAGCTTTTAAGACGAGATTGTGACTTGACTAAAACTCTGTGCGTCGGAAGTGTCAAAATTAAAATAAAACAGTTATACTCTGATTCTTAATTCCGAAGAATTCTGACATTTCATAAGTGTTGCTTGCTAGTTCTCCACCGAAAAAGGCACCAATTTGACTTATTTGAGGGCAATTAAAAAAATGCTACGTATTTTTCATGTTTTACCTACAAAAAGGTAAATCTAAATATTTACTTACTCAAGTGACCTAATACAAAAATAACAAATATTTCAATATCACGAACAATATATCGAATTCACTTTATTTTATTATTTAGCTGGCATCGTGCGTTTTCCAATTACAGAGCATTTTTCGACTCAGTGCCGCACAATGCCGCATAATGCTGAAGCTTAATTGGAACGTGAATTAGTTTTCAAATGCATCAGCAGAGTGCGCTAAGTCAGTGTTGACAAAAAAAATGGTCTGAATAGAGTTAGCAACCTCATTAATGTATAAATAATGTGGTAAACAATAATAATTGGTTGAAAACTTTTTACGCTTAATTTAATAATCAAATTATTTCATTAAATTTTTTTACTGAAATAAGAGAAAGCCTTTAAAGAATATAAGGTTTTAACAAGCTAAATTAACAGTAAAATATTTAGTTTCATGTAAGAAGTTTACATCATTTACGTTTTGAGTAATATTTTTTAATGATTTCTAAAAAATATACTGCTCAAAACAATTAGCGGAACAAGATTTTTCTCCTTTCTATTGCTTAAATAAAATTAGATTTAAATTAACTTGTACGCTATTTTTTACCTTGTTAATTTGTTAATTACTACAATTAATAAAAAAAATCAATTTGTATTTTTTTATTAAAAAAAAATTAAAATGTGCATTGTAGACGAAAAACTAATTGGTGATAAAAAAGGTCCATCAAAAAATATTCTTATATCGTTTGAATATTCGTCTTTAGTGACTTTCATAACGTGTTGGCCTCCATGAGCCCTAATCACGGCTTGACAACGACGCGGCATGCTTCGTATGATCCTCCGAATATCTTCTTGTGGAATTCACTCCCATTCTTCAATCAACGCTTCAGTAGCTGCTGCAGTGTTTGAGGTGCAATCGGACGCTTCCGATGCTCCTGTCAACAAGGCCCAAATTGTTCAATTGGATTTAGGTCAGGGCTCATGGAAGGCCACTCCATCACAGGATTTCCTCTGTCGTAAGTAATCTGACGTGATGGATGCAGTATGCGGCCTGGCATTATCTTCATTAAAAGAAAATCTGGGCCCATACCATATGCTGCGGGCCAAACATGATCTTCGAGCACATTTTCAATGTAAGTTTGAGCACACAAGCCCCGGGAACAACGACGAGATCTGTGCGCTCGTCCAAACTAACTCCGCCCCAAACCATCACAGAGCCACATCCAAATTTGTCATATTCCTGGACTGCTCTGCACTGTATCGCTCGCCTGGGCGTCTGTCAACACGGAGACGACCATCGCAACGTGTTAGACGGAATCGTGATTCGTCAGTAAAAAGCACTGGCCTCCAATGTCGAAGTTGCCAATTAGCGTGATTTTGGGCCGAACTGTCGGCGAGCTTGTCTATGTTGCTGAATTGTTAGACGCACAGCCCGAACTGGTCTGATTCAAATTGGCTTCCAACAACCTATTTCTTACCGTCTGGTCGGAAATTTCTACACCAGTAGCCGTCCTTAGTGTATTTTGTAGATCTCTTGCAGTTGTGGTGCGTTACGTAAAGCACAGTTGACGATGTAGCATCTTGCAAACGTGTAGTTTTTCTCTTTCGACCTTGACCACTTCTCGTAGTATTCTCCCGTCTCCGGTATCGCTTCCAAAGTCTGTAGATAACAGAAGGGGCTACTCCTAGATCATTTCCTACATAACGCATAGTTTGACCCTCTTCAAGCAAAGCGATAGCTCGGGAGACATGCAATTCAGTCAGATCTGGCATTATGACCTAAACTCACTCCTTCAATGAATAACAATACTCAAAAGGCTCACTTCAATTTCTATTAATACTCAAAAGATTGAAAAAACTACTTAAAATGTGTTTTCTGTGATTAGAAAGTAATGAAAATTCAAAGACGTCACTTTGTTGTTCGTCTACAATGCACATTTTATTTTTTTAATAAAAAAATACAAATTGAATTTTTTTATTAATTGTAGTAATTAACAAATTAACAAGGTAAAAAATAGGTACAAGTTAATTTAAATCTAATTTTAGTTTAAGCAATAAAAGGAGAAAAATCTTGTTCCGCTAATTGTTTTGAGCAGTATATATACTTTTTCAAAACCATTGCAATTTTTTCTAAAGTATAATCCTGTAAAGTAAATTTGTTTACAGATCCGAATTTTAAAATAAAATTGTATTCATATTTTAAATGTGGAATATAAAAAAGTAACTATTTATACCTTCATCCATACTAATATTTATTTTTTTAGCAGTTTGAAATAACTTTAATTATTTTCAAAATCTACGACGAAACGAAAGCCTTACAAATTTTTCAACAATAAATAATATTTACTAACGAAAATTTCGATAAATGCCAACTTAAAGAAAAATACTGGTCAATTTTCTGACACTGTGTTGGTATTGTTTGCGAGAGCATTCGTTTTGAGAGTGCTCAATTGTGCGAAGCGTTGCTGTAGTTGGAACACTCAACGTTGAGCATTATGCCGCAAAATGCGCTCTAGTACTGTAATTGGAAAACGCACATCACTGCCTACTAATTCCAGGTTTAGTAAACCTTTTAAAAAAATAATGTTATCTTTACTTGTGCGTTTTTTCTGTTTGTGATGAAGAGGAAATTACCACTTTTAATGTGGAGTACCGCACTTAATAAAATGGGTACATTAACTAACAATAAAATGTATGTATAGACTCAATGTTCAGACTCGTATTGAAATTGAAAAATGTGCCCGGTCAAAAAGGTTTGCCATCACTGACATGTCAAAAAATGACAGCTGTCAGAATTCTACGGAATTAAAAATCAGAGTATAGCGATTATTTGAAAAATTAAAAAAAAAATTGCGGAAAAGAACTTACCGTGGGGTTCAAACTCCTGAGTAGCGAATTTCGCTACAGTAGTGGCAATATTGGGAACACACCTACACATGACTTCCACTATGACATCTCTCGCACTCTCCCGTTCCATTAAATCGCTCATTGATTCCACTGAACGACATATTTCCCGCCATTTGCTATTAGACTTTATTTGCTTGTTGTATTGTTCCGCTTCGAGGTATCTATTTAATATGAATATTTAATACCATAGTAATATTAACCCGTAATTTTACCTGCGTTTCTAGTTAATGCGCATTCATCGTATTCAAACAAACAAATGAACATAGCAATTAATGCAAAAACGGAAAAAAATCTTAATGATAGTTTCTGGAAATGGTTAATGTTGCGCAAAAACTATGACGGATTTAAAAAAAACTTTATGTCAACCATAAGGTTTTTAATATTAATGAAATTAGTTCTTGAATAAAAATATAGTATTAAATATACTATGAAACGTTTGCCACCAAAGTTTTTAATTTTTAATTATTACTATAGGGATTCAGATTACAATATTTTGTACAATAATATTTATACTTTTTTCTAAATATGTTTAAATAAATAAAACATTTTTTTACATATTCGTTCTTAACAATTGGATCATTTAATTTCCTTAGAAGTCACACTCACAACTAGTCGGCAAAAATGTGAATGAGAAAAAATTTAATTTTTAATAAATTCTTTCATTAATATGAAGCCAAAAACAAGGTTGGTTGAACGCGCCATCTCACGTTTCGTCCATTTATTGAAATATATTATAACATACTTCGACGGAATGGGCTAATTGACAAGATTTGAAAAACAATATCATGTCATTTATTAGGGAATATAGAACCTTGGCATTTCCAGAACCCGCCAAAAAACTTCTTAAATTACTAGGATTAGACACGCATTATTTACAAGTGTGATACGTTATCGTCTATTCGACTAGTCTGACAGTTTTGTCACGTGACTGACCCAAAATAATGGTTATTTCTACATTATTTTTACACCGTCAAATAGCCTATTCACGCGGGTAAAATGAAGGTAAAATCTATGAAGAAATTAATAACTTTGAAAGTAAAATACTTACCTAGACTGTTGCAAATAGTACATGACAAGTATATCTGAGGTAGCAGGTTCATTGCATTCCTTCAAATACCTGATGAAGACCTCTTCTTCTAAAGGCAAAAGGGTCAATTGTAGTACTTTAGACAAATGACCGCTATTTCTACAACCTGTAATTTGATTTTGTTATAAGTTACGAGAACAAATTATTAATAGACTAAAAAGGGTGATCATTTCAATCTGTATGTGATAATAGTGGAATTAAGAACTTAAAATAAATTGTATTATGGTGAAAACGAAAGGGCAAGTAGTGTAAATACCTACTTCAATTTTTTTTATTTTGTTAACATTAAACCATTTTACAGTTTATCTTATTGCTCAGTTATAAAAATAAATAATAAATTAGTGGCGCTAGAACTTTTTTAGGTCTGGGCCTCAGATTTCTATTTCTGTTTCATGATCATTTGTTAATCTAATAGGCAAGTAGGTGAACAGTCTCCTGTGCCTGACGCACGCTATCGACTTTTTGGGTCTAAGACAAGCCGGTTTCACTCAATTTTATAATTTACATTACTTTTTTAATATATCTAGAAGTATTTTTGACTAATTTAAATATTAACTAACTATTAATAGATATCTAGGAATGAACAAAATCAGACATTAAGCGTGAATCAACCATGTTAAATTTACAAATATATGAATCAAATTATCTTGATAAATATATTTCTACTGTACGTGTGTATCTCACTGAACTCCTAAATTGCTGGACCGATTTAAATGAATTGTTTTGTATGCGTTTGGGTGGCCCTGAATAGTTTAGATTCACAAATCAGCCCATCAGATGGGGCTGCAGTCGATGAAATATTTTGTGTTCAAGTGGAGTCGAGAATGATTAACATTATTAGATTTTTTTTATATGTAAGACGTGTGTACAGGACAACGTCTGTCGGATCCGCTAGTAATATATATAACCTTTATAGTGCATAAAAATACCCACCTTTAAAAAAATAATTCAGCACTTGCGTTTTGTCATCAATCGATCCCGCACTTTGCGTGCAAACTCGTACAACATCGAAAGCCTCAAATACCAAACCCCTCGCGAGGTATAATTTACAATACGATTGCCAATCTTCGAACTTGTCATACTCATTCAGTGAATTGGCCGAGTCACCGATTCTCGCCTTATTCTGTATTGGAGCTGGGCGTCTAAGATGCAAGTATTGCAAGGCAGCTTGCGACTTCTTTTGCGCGAGCAAAGACGATAGAACGACTTGGTGTTGCCAGTCGGATAATGTGTTGCCAGTTAGGCATTGTAATTGATCGAGTGCGAACTGAAATATTAATAATGTTTTTTTTAAATAAATACTAGCAGCCCCGGGAAATGTTTTTTGGTCTTAATATGAATTTTTACTTAGTCTACCATTTCAGTACCTTACACCAACATATAGAACAATTTGCCATGTTATCCCATAGACTGTTAGCTATTCCAGAATAAAGACCTAAGTACTAAAAGAAACATTTTTCTCTCCCCATAAAAACCTTCCTCAGAGTTCAAGGAATATATTTTAAAATATACTAGTATTGGCCAAACCCTCTTTAAGTTTGGAACTTAGCAGCATATTGATATTATATAATTTTTATATCAATACTATAGATCAATATTGAATAATTTAAGAGTTTTTTTTACAAATTACCAATTACGTAATTATAATAATAAAAACACTGTAGTAAAATAAATTATAAAATTAATTAATAAAAATAAGTTATTACAGTTTTAAGTTATATAAAGTACTAAAACTGTGTGTTTTTAAAACAAATCCCAATTTATAACGATTTAATCTAAAAATGTCCATTAAGTAGTTGAGGGTACAATCAAATGTCAAATCGTATGTCAAAAATATTTTGACATACTGATGCGTTTACATTACGCTGTCCTTTTACTTAATACTTTCTGAAAATTCATATATGGTTATTCAAATTAAAATCTAATCAAAAGTATAATTTCTAAGTTTAATAATGCCTTACATGGAAGTCCCTGTGGTCGAGATGCCAGAAGGCTTGCGTGGCTCGAACCTGAGTTGTGCTTAGACCAAACATTGGCGGGAACTGCATCAGGCGACGGATCACTGCCTCGTACCTAAAAACAAAGATGGAGGTAACTGTAAGATTTTTTAAATCGGAGACTCCAATGTTTATTTGTTTGCTGGAAAATACTTATAACTAATATATATCTCAGGGAATATGATGTTATGATCGAGTCAATTGCCTGTTGTTTGTTGCTTTGGTTAATCATTGAGATTAAAGATTCTTTAAAGAATCATAACTTATTTATAAAATACAACATAATTACTGATGCAGCAAAAGTCAGACGAAAATAACAGACAATAGCGTTCAAATAAGAATAATTTATTATGTAATTACTAACACTATACTCTGATTTTTCAGTCCGTAGAATTCTGACATAAGTGTTGCTACGAATAAAGTTCACCACCGAAAGAGGGACACATTTGATTTATTTGAGGGCAATAAAAAAAAATGTTAAGATTTTTTAATGTTGTACCCACAAAAAGGTAAATCAAAATATTTACTTACTGAAGTGACCTAATACAAAAATAACAAATATTTCAATATCACGAACAATTTACCGAATCAACTTTAATTAATTAATGTTATTCTTTAGCTGGCATAACTGCCTGTATAATGTATGTATAGACTCAGATGATCAGACTCGTATTGAAATTAAAATTGAAAATTGTGCCCGGCCAGAAAGGTTTGCCATCTCTGACATGTCAAAAATGATAGCTGTCAGAATTCTACGGAATTAAAAATCACGAGTATAGTCTGAAATAAACTTTTCTTATTTCTGACTTTCAATTTAACGACAACTCTTTGTGACGTCAAAATATGGACAGTCCCTTAAGTGTCGTTATAAAGAGTTTACACTGAATATTTGAATATACATATAATATATAAATAGGTATCCTCCAACGAACTTCCATAACTAATTGATATATTCAATAAAGGTTAGGTATAAACAATAAAGAAGGCCTTAATCATTTTAAAATATGTAATAATTTACTCACTGTCCATCATCATAGAGCATAGAGTAGTCCAGTAAGAGATATAAAAGAAGAGAATGTTTGTGCTCTTCAGATATATCTGGTAAGAGATACAGCCTTAGCAAGGCGTATAGCGATGGAGGTGGGTACAATCCACCGCATTCACTGCCCGCACGAGTCCAAATCCTATGAAATTAAATAAATATAAACTAGGTAAATTAATTTTATTTTAATGAGAATTTTTAATTGAGCAATGTTATCTCGTATGTATTATAAAAGTTCTCGTACAAGGGAAAAAAAATAAAAAATAAAAATATTTAGAACAACTCATGTACGTCAAAACATATATTATTTGATGCTAGTCACATTTTACTTTTCAGTCAACAGTAAAAAGAATTGTGTGAAAAAAAACAGTAAATAGATTAAATATTTTTGCTTTATCTAATATATAAAATTCTCGTGTCACAATGTTTGTTCCCATACTCCTCCGAAAAGGCTCGACCGATTCATATGAAATTTTTATGCATATTCAGTAAGTCTGAGAATCGGCTACTGTCTATCTTTCTATCTATTAAGTGATAAGGGGTGTCCTACCAAAAAAAAACATTTTTTTTAGACAAATTTTTTTGTTTTTATTAAAAAAAAATACAAACAACCCTTAATTTTCGCCCCTCTACGATCAACCCTTGTTAATAGCTTCTTTTATTGAACTAAAAAAAAATTTCCTAGAAATAATATACATGGCAAAACAAACGTTTGCCGGGTCAGTTAGTGACATATAAAATAGTGAATCAAACGGGTTACATAATGACGAATAATAATTGTTTTGTATCATTCACTTCTTTATAGAATACTATGGTAAAGAATTTTATATTTCTACTCACTGGTGCACTGTTTGACCTCCAAATTCATTGATGATGAGCTGGTCCACATACAGAAGCGAACTAGGGACGCAACTTGGGTCACCGTCTATAGACTCGCCCTGAATACGATGAAGCTTTTCGCGGCTAGAATATAAAACAATAATACGATATAAATGTATATGTATGTTTGTAGCGAGTAAATCCAAAAACTGTATCTATTTGAAAATGGTACATTGAGTAAAATTCAATCTATGAATTTAAAAAAAAAATGTAAACTGGTCGACGTTGGGGCAGGCTGGTGGTATACACAAACATTTATACAAAAAAAAATAATTATGGAGACAAGAATTTGAAAAAAAAAACGGAAAAATTGCATAGAAAACCTTTGAACCTGTTATTATAAAAGGTTTATAATAACAGGGGGCTATGGTAATAAAGTAAATCCTTTTTTGAGGTAACAGGCGCAATACTAATGGCGGGAAATTATAAGCGTATGCGGTATGTGAAGCATCTTATCCACAGACAACGATTTTTTTCAAAATACCAACTCTACAGATACTAATCATTGTTAACGTAAATAATACAGCAATAATATTTTAAATTTCTTTTACAATGGATATACACAGTGTAGGAAAAAAAACTAAATTTTATGAGTTTTAGTAAAAATTAGATTCAAATTTAAATGGTGTTTTTTAAACTATGGCATGATTAATTGGGTGTGTATTTTATACTTTTTAATCAGTTACAAACCAGTAAAGGTCGATAGATGTGTTAGTATCTGTGATCTAGGGTTTGTTGGTATTTGGACTATAATGACGTCCTCATAGGCAACAAATTCTCAGGATAGAAGCTCAGTTCTTATGGGCAACAGAAGACAAGTTTTCTGCAACCCAAATTGCCGCTTGGCGACGTGGAAAGAGACAGACGTTCCCACAGTGTATCATAACCACGAGGGCAAGAGAGTCGGAGAATGCCAGCGGCACATGAAATCCGTCGGTCTGCGCTTCTATCGTGCGTCTGAATTCGTTGGATAGGGCATCGTTTTCGCAGGCATTTTTTATTGAAGCTACTCATCAAAAAATATATAATATATAGAAAATATCACCACTATAATTATTTTTCTATGTGCTTAATTTAATTTCACCTAGGAAAAACTTACCGCTTCTTATAAATGGCGTACAGCTGTTCAGCGGGATATGGCAGTGAGGCGTGTGGGTGGTTTCTCTCGGGTAATAAACCCACTCTCAAAAACCACTGAATCACTTGGAAATACAGAGACACGGTGCCAATACCCTTGAATTTCTCTTCTATCTCACTTAGAGCTGAAAGTTAGGCATTACTTATAAAATCTCCCACAGAATAAAAATTATTTAAATAAATATATATTTACTATGTACAATGTGTTGGGCCGCTAACGGTTAAATATCGTAAAAAAAAGTCAATAAAAAAAACATTATTGCCGTGTACATTCAGTATCTGTTGTTTTAACAAACCAAACATTTTGACAGTTGATATAATTTTAAAGATTTTTGGTTATACCAATAAAAAGGTAAATGTAAAAGATGATGAATGGTGCCTAAGGATGGAAAACTACTTAAATTATTAAATAAATCTACTATTTATTAGTTAATTATTAAATTATTTTTTAAACAGAAAAATTTGATATCCTAAATGCAATCAAATAATGAAATTATTATCTTCAAACGCGTCTTTTCAAAGGAGATAAGAAAATGGTATTTTTAATACATATAAACGCACACACAATATACTTTCTTACGTGTGTACGTACGTTTTGGCTGTATTTTTAAATAATATCTTTAAAATAAAAAAAATCTGTGTATTGTCAATAAAGAGTAACTTAAGACTACGATAACCTTTTTACCAAGCGTGGAAAAGCTGTTATAAATTATAAAACATATCTTAATATATATAAATTACGTGTCACGTTGTTTGTCCGCTATGGACTCCTAAACTACTTAACCGATTTCATTCAAATTTGCACACCGTGTGCAGTTTGATCTAACTTAAAAGATAGGATAGCTTACATCTCAATTTATACCCGCAATATTATTTTATTGCAAAATATTTGTTTATTATTTGATAGTCACAATTCTAACAGATGGCGCTGTGTTGAAAGTACCAACGCTACAATTTAATGGCATAACCACCAAAAAAGGCATGACTGGTGTTCTCCTACCGTTTCCCTTGAATAGTTTGCTACTATGTAATATAACAAAAATCTTAGCCACAGCAACGCTTGGCCGAGTCTACTAGTGTATATATATATATAAATAGAATATACTAAAGAAAATCATATAAATATTTTTATAATGTTGTATTAAATAAGCAATAATCGAAATCTTACCCTCAGGCACAACAAGATTGCAGCATTTCGTAATGACGGCGTCAAGTAGTCCCGTCAACTGACTTAGCTGTTGCACGCTGTGCTCCAGGCAACGTATAACATTCCTGTAACACCAAACCACAACGTTTTAGGGTATTTCTGTGGTAGCCTCGAGATTTTATGTTAGGAGACGAACCAGCAGTAAACATAGAGACGTATCCTAGAACGTCAATCAAATTTAAATCTCACAAACCAATTTTTCTGTATGAATTTTGACATATGGACTTTACAATATACCACTATGTATTGAACGACGAAATATTACGGCCGTTGTACAATCATAATTAATTACGGTTTTAAAATGAAGACGTCAAACAGATCTCAGATATATCGTCTCCCAAAGTCTGTCATAAATGGAAATAATGATAAAAACAAAAGTACTGATCAGTTTGTAATGAGTGATATATCAATTCTTAGTACATTAATTAAGGAATAAAAAAAAGCATAAAAATATTCGAAATAACCTCCCTCATTTTTAATACAGGCCCTTAAGCGTCCCCAGTCGTCTATCCAGCACCACCATATTCGTGTCGATTTCAGTCACTGGTTTTTTTAAAGATGACTTCAGATTCTCCAAATTTTCATGAGGTTTATCACAGACCTTCCTCTCTAAGCCCTGTCATAATTTCTGGTCAAAGGATTAAGGTCCACTGAGAAGGCCAATCCTCATGTCTAATTAAGACGATGTTTTGACGCTCAAACCAGGCTTTAGTGGTCTTGGCTTTGTATGCAGACCAGAGTCCTCTAACACGAAGTGATGTCCCCAAATAGGGTGCTGACATGTCTTTGACAAGCGATACAAAACCGTCTCTTGGTACACTTACACTGTTTTACCCCCTTTTCAAAAAAATTAACCTCAGTTAGCCCGTAATAGGACACTCCCAACCAAACCATTACTGATGATGGATGATGTCCATGTTGCACCCTTGGAACTTTATTTTCAGCTTCTTCAGAACTCCTAGCGTACACTGTATAATTCTATTTATTGTACTTCTCTTCAATATCGAAAAATTTTTCGTCCGTAAAGAGGATATCACGGTGTCGGTTTTTCGCGTACAGCTTAAACAACACCCGCGATCTCTTAAGCCTTATTGCTTTTAGACGAGCATTAAGTAAGTCCCACTCTTTTTTTGTATGCTCGTAGACCAAGATCTTCATTTAAAACCTTTTTTACTGTTTTCCTACCTGACACCCATCTGCAAATCCATCAACTTCTGTTTTCGGACAGGATTTCTTACTATCCGCGCCTTGATAGCTTTGATTACTGCTGGTGTTCTTGCGGAGCGTGGCCAGCCAGTTCTTTTCTTGTCCTCAACACTGGAGACTTCAAGGTACCTATCAATAGTACCGTACACAAACCTAAGCGTTATATTCAAATTTTTGAGCAAGTTGAAAATGGTACTCGGCGAGTGTCCACAGCGGTGCAACCAATAACAACTATTCGGTTTACTTTCAATGTCCACTCCATCGTGAAAAATTACGGAAAGTTATTGTTTTTTGTTTTAAAACAATAATCAAACATTCCAAAATAGAATGCAATAATTTTTTATAAAATCCTGCTCGAAATGTAGAAATAATGTGCTAGTGACAGAACTTTGGGACCAACTAGTACAGATCCCATAAATTAACCAGAAGTCATTTACCAACATTGCATAGTAATTTTTTTAACAAGAATATTGTATGTAAATTTGAGTTCATAAAATATATTTCCGTTTTTTAAATGGCAATAATTTAAAAACAAAACATTTATCGCTAAGGATATATTATATAACTTAGCCACTAGTTAGACTGGCCGAAGATCCCTTTAGGTTGGAGGACCAGAACCCTCCCTCCACAACTTAGGGAGCGTTCAAGTATTACGTAACGAGTTTTGGGGGGGGGGTCCTTTGTAAAACGTTACGATGCGGGGCGGGGATTGAATTACGCGTTATTGTTAATATTATTTTCGACTTACACCACATAATAGTTAGTAGTCACGAAACGTTTTACTATACTCTTCTACTAAATACAGTACTGTACTTGGGTACTGAAAAACGTTACTGCGAGTTACATGGGGGGGGGTTCAATAATCTCCAAAAATTGCGTTCCGTTATACTTGAACGCTCCCTTATTAGTGTAATAAATACTTTCGTAATGGTTTAAAAACTCACCTGTCTGGCAAAGTGGCCGAAGTGAAGAGGGGCAAAATGAGTTCCTTTGCGTTCTCTTTGAGTTCTATAGCGCGCTTCCAGGCCCAATCCACCTAAAAAAAATATTATAAATACGTGTTTTTTTAATACAACAACAACTGAGGTTCATCTGATTTTAAGAGACATTTGACCTTTTTAATTCCAATATTAAAACTGTTGGAATAAGAAATTCAGTTTCTCATTATGTTTTGAAAATTTACTTACTGTGTTTCGTTAACATTTTCGTGGTGATTTCTTCTTAAAACCTAACATTTAACTTTCTTCAGTGAACAATTTAACTTGTTAATATTAAAAATGATTTACATATGCTACATATGTTGCATATGAATTTAGACAGGCTAAGGTGGGACATGGCACAAAAATGGTGGGGAAACACCGTCTGACCAAGATTTATCTCAGATTGAAAAAAAACTTAAAAGTTTCAGTTTTGATCATAAGTCACTATTAGGGCTTAATAATTTGTGTTATATTTGCAGATATTTTTTATAAGCGGGTTTTAGAATTTATTCTACGTATACCAGAGACAATTATTTATGTGGAAATCTGCCATATTGGAGAGGGAATAAAATAGAATATTTTCGTACTTACCAAAAAAGTGAGGGTACATCCGACCCCGGTGTGGGTGCCAGTCGCCCAATCTTGAGCACAGCGCTTGAGAAACTGGCTCAATCGAGCTTCAAGTACAACAGATAGTAAGAATTTTCGTTGTTCATCCTAAAAGGAGAAAATGATTTAAAAAAAAAGTGTTTTTGTAACATGGTAACTATATTCTATTCTTTATGAAAGTGGATCACAGTCTATTAATTCTTATTTTATGAACCAGTTCTAAAAAAGGTCTCTCTCCTTATTTTCGAGCGGAAGATTCTTCGAAGAATCTTTGGTCCTGTTTGCAACGACGGTGTTTGGCGTATCCGCTACAATGAAGAACTTTATAACATCCTAGACGACGCCAACATCGTCCAACTCATAAAGTGCAACAGGCTCAAGTGGCTGGGACATGTGCACCGAATGGCGAACAACAGAACCCCAAGGTCCTTACTAAACTCACAACCCGGTGGCAAAAGAAAACCCGGTAGACCGAGGCTGCGTTGGTGGGATGGAGTTGTCAAGGACCTTGAAACAATAGGGGTTGGCAATTGGACGCGGGAAGCACTAGGTAGATTGCGATGGCGAAGTGTAATTGAGGAGGCTAAGGCCCACAAGGGGCTGTATATTGTATAACCATTGATGATGATGATCAAAAAAAGGTACTAAATTTGACTAGAGACCAGGAATTTCGTAATATTTGAGTATTAAATATTTACGACTTCCAAAAACGTGTTCTAAATTTTTTATTTATCAGAAAGCAAACCGGCTGATGGCTCATCTGATGTTAGATACAGCCGCCCATGGACACTCACTTTTAAGAATTCTATCTGTATATGTCTGTCACAAATTATACAGCATACGTCATGAAGAGATGTTTTAATCGTGTTAAAATGAGTATGTACCATCAAAATCGGTCCCGTTGTTTTTAAGATTACGTTTGTTTTTTTTCTTTTATTTTAATATTTCCGTACCACAGAATTGTCTGTATCCGCCGTGATATAGGCAGGCATAAGTCCGGCGGACATGCAGGACGCGTAGAGTCGAGCTGGGGACAGCAAGCAAGAGGGCCCCGAACTCGATATGGAGTTGATGATTTGACGTTGTATGCCCACAGTGTGAAGCTTTATGGCTTCCGAGGTGTTAAGGCACACACAATCTGAAAGAAATTTCAAAAAAATCGTCATAGTCCTAGAATAATGACGGATCTGACAAATAGTAAACTTTACAGGGCAACCATTTCAAAATAATATAATCATGTTAATTTTTTTGTCAACTTTTTTAATTCTGTTCTTATGAAAATTGGCATACACGGAAACAAAAGGGTTTTTTTTGAAACCAATTAAAAATAATAACATTAAATTACACAGTTTTCTAGAAAAATCACATGCTTTTCCAAATATGTAAAAAAGTGGATTTTGGATTTTTTTCAAATCCGACATTGTTTTACGATGATGACGAAAAGTTTTTTTGTTGATTAAAAATAACCACAATGTTGGTAATAATAGCATAGATTTATTTTTTAATAAGATAGGGAGCCAAACCAGTCTACGGTACGCCCATTAGTGGGTGCTGGCCTCCAAATGATTTTGATAGGTAAGATAATGTATGTAATGTGAAAAACTAAATTTTTGTATCTTTTAATACAATTAATAAATAGTACAAACGAATGTGTCACAAATTCAAAATTGTTTTTGACTAATTGAATAATAAAAGTTAAAATAGAAAATATACTTACTATATAGTAATGAATTAGGATAAAAATGTTCCTCAAGCCTGGTGGCGTGGGAATATGGGGATAGAGAGCTGGGATCCAACCTCAAGTCCAGCGTGAGGCTTCCTCTTCCAAGCTCTGAACACCAGGCCGTACTCATGAAAGTGTTACTTTGGAGCTGGTATGTAGCTGAAATCATCAAATTTTATAGCCTAATAGCAGGAGAAACAAACAAAACAATTATTTTTTCATTACATGATTCTAATCTATCTAATATATTAACTATTCTCGAGTCACAATGTTCATACCCATACTCCTCCGAAACGACTTGATCAATTCTTATGAAAAAAATTTATGCATATTCAGTAAGGCTGAGAATCGGCTACTATCTTTCAAACCCCTAAATGTTAAGGATGGTCCCCCCATTTTTTTATTTTCATTTATTTAGATAAAACATTTTGTTTTTATTTTTTTATTATGTGGCATTAAAAATACATACAACCCTTAATTTTCACCCCTCTACGATCAACCTCTATTTAGTAGATAGTTATTTTTATTGAGCTAATAAAATATAATTACCCTATACTCCATCTGAACACCTTTTATTAATTTCATTTTATTATTATATAATTAATTTTATTTAAATTACTTAGAGTTCACAGCTATGTAAAGTTTGTACTTACCAGGCATTTGATCTTTGTACCACTGGTCTAAATCAAAGAGAAGCATGCCGTAATGCGATGACTTGGTCTGTTCACCCCAACATTCCCAAACCAGCTGACATAGATTTAACATGGCTGAAAAGGAAAATCAATACATTTTTATATCATGCTAGTTTAAAGTTTATCAGATTTTTATTGTATAAATGATATCAATATAACATAACACTTTTACATTTTAAAATTTAATTATGAATATCATTATTTTTTATATGTTGGCCTGGAAGTTTAGAAATAAGATCAGGATACTTTGTTGTTACTTCCACACCATAACTTCGAGGTCTGACATTTGTATTTCAAAATTAAAAACAAAGAGAATTCGTTTCTCTCACGCCTCAGCACACAATGTCTGGATACTTTCCTCCATTGATGCGTTTATCAAATGGTAACTCTTAATTCAAAGTGAAGAAAAAAATTTAATTTTATGCATGTAAAACAAATGAACAAAACCAATGCCTATAATAAATAAATATACTTACTATCTTCCCCTTCTTCTCCCAACATAGTATTAATAGAGAATGTATGAGTGGAAATACACCGACCACCAATTAAGTGCATATTGTCCATAGATCCTAATTCTACTTGAAAGCTTACTGTTGCTGAAGAAAACTCCTGGAATATTTAAAATTTAAATATAATTTTATATCACATAAATATTATTTAAAAAATCCAAAAACCTATTATAGAAACATAACTTACCTGATATAAACATTTATTATCAACCAGCATTCGTTTCCCTTGGTAAGTTAAAGAGTACATCACAGCCAGGGGAAACTCATGTTCCTCAAATCTATTTGTCACTGAAAATACAACCCAGAGATAGCAGAAAGCTCTTGGGTCATCGCAAGGTTCCTGTAAATACAAATTTAAAAGACTATAAATACTTCCTTACACGGCAACTTATTTTATGCAATATTCAAGGAAAAATATGTATTTTTTTTATTTTTTTAATAAAATTTGGATGAATTGACAACAATTTTGCTAAAATGACTGAATAAATCTAAGAATTCAATTGTATTTTTGACAATCATGTGGAAATACTAGATATTATGTCCTAAAAATACTGTAAACTGTAAGTTTTATCACCTGGAATCCAAAATGTGTTACAGGCAAGCACTCCACATTCACCTGAGATGTATATTCAAGAGCTAAATCAAATATATTCCATAACTGAAATGCACCAAAGTTGTACCCAACGGCCAAACTGCCTAATTGTGGAATATATTGGACGACAGTTACCCGTACATGGTCTTTTGAGCTTTCATTCGTACAGTACCATCAGGGTTTCTAAATATGTACTGACTGTCAATAAATGAATCTTCGTTTAAGACTATGGTGAAGTGCTCATTGTTATTTACTGGTAGTTCTCCTTGTCTTTCATATTTGTGTAGTGATTTAAGAGACATAAATGACAGAGTAGCTGGATCCGACTCATTTTTTATAAGATCTACATTTCCTTCAGTTATGTCTGTTAGAGCTGAAATAAAAATGGTCATAGTATTGGAGTTATATAATGTATAGAACCTTACTTGAAGATATTGTAAATATCCTATTGTAAATAAACCTATAGTAATAATTCTTTTAAGTACAAAATAATATTTTTTCCTACACTGTAGCTATAACCCAGGATTTAAAGATTATGTTGTCATACTTTATAACTATAAATTAGGTTTTAATACAATCTTTTTCCATTACACAGTAGGACATTTATTTTATTTTACTATATTAAATAAGTAAGAATAAATACCTTGCATCAAAGAGCTTCTATTAAGATCTATAACTAAAACCTCTCCCTTCTGAGTCCCAGCCATCAACAACCCATCAAAACAAGTAAGTGGTCCATTAGTCACATCATCACACAAGGCCAGCTCTGTGATAATTACATCAGTTTCTATACAGCGAAGTATTTGAGACCCATTAATATGTAGAATGCATATCAAGCCTCTGTCATCAGTTTCAAGGCTAATGACAAGCTGTTGGGAGCCTCTAGTAAGGGGATGTGGTAGTTCAATCACACTGGTTACTGTGATATGGCTAAAAAAAGATTTTTTTTTTCAAAACAATTAGTATAATAAAGTGTTGTCTAAATAATAAGTATATATGTATTAATCAATGCAAATTACCTGGACCCATTTCCAAAGGTCCTTTCTGCAACTTTCCATCCATTTCTGAGATCAACAACACAGAATTTTGATCCAAGAGCAAGCCAACCATATTTTGTGTCACGTAAAATTCCGCCTAAGGGTGTTTCTAAACAGGGAACACTTGTTAAAGATAAGAATAGTACAAGTATTTTAAGATACCTTGCTTATTTAAATATAAGCCTAACAGGATTAGGAATGTTCTAACGAACTTTGATCGTAGCGGAATCAAGAGTCATTTCTAAACTCATTAAGCTTGTGAGTTATGAAGAAAATGTAAATTAGATTTACCTGCAAAATCGTCTGTAGGTTGTAAAAAACTAAACACCGCAGGTGATAAACTTGTAGTTTTTAAAATAGAAAATACACTGTCTTGAAGCTTCTGCATTTTATTTTATTATTACATAAGTCTGGGCCACTCGTATTTGAATAAGCACTTTGCACTGTTTAAGGAAATATTTAATTGTTATTATGATTGGAGGTTATACGACATTTTATATACTTGTACTGTTTATTTCAACCTTAGTCAAATAAATTTACACTCTAATCTACTTTCTTTGTTAATAGTTCAAAACCAAAGAATTTGTCTGATTTTATAACGGTTTCAATTTAACAGGTCGTTGCTGCGATTTTTGCTAAACAACGCTGAAAATTGAAATCTGATTTACTTTTTCGCTTTAGTTGAAAAGTTTAAATTTTTCAGTTTTTAGTGATGTCATACGAAAACAAGTACAATGCCAAGACTTGTCAAGTTGCATGACATTTGCTGATAAAGTGTAGACTTTACTATAAAACAAAATATACTGAAAGTAGTCTATGGTTCACCTTGTCTCAAAATCTTTTACCTTTAACACAATATATTTTCCCGTCTTAGCCGCGATTCTAGCTTTCCTGCAATAGTTTGCATCTAAATAGATTAAATTTATATACCAAGAGACATTCCCAATGGAGAAGTTTACACAAAAAATAAAGGAATAAAGTTTTAAGACAAATTGACAATGTTTTGCTTCAAGGGGTTTACCTTTTAATTTTAGTAATAAAAAAAAAACAAATTAACTTTAATGATATATTTAACGATGATACAATATTAAAAATAAAGTTATAGTTTAAAATAACATTGAGCGACAATCACAGCTTTTTTCTATTAACTTTGGTAACCGAAAAATTAACGATGTTTTTGTTACTCTCTTTTTCATGAGGTGTTATTTTAATCTGCCCTTGAACAATATTTAGCATAGATGTATAAGGACTGTCTGTGCTATTAATTATTTGGCTATCTATTTTATAATTATTATTTCCCACATCGCTGCGGCTACTAACAATGTCGTAAACAGATTTTTTCATAGACACGTAGGGTTGTCCATTATTTTCCCCAGGCCTAAAGCCATTGTGAGTAATAATTGAATCATTAGGTATTAAATTAGCTCCTGCCGATTCATTGTCATTTTGAATCTCTTTAGAATAAGTCGCACTGTCTAAAGAACTGTTCCTAGTCACTTTTATGCTATTGGATCTAGAAGAATTTTCTAAAGAATGAAGCGTAGAAGAGCTGCCTTTCATGTTATCTAATTCTTTGGAGTAAATCTCCTCACTTTTCTGAAATCTTTGCGCGTGAGTAGAAAGGGGTATTTTATTTTGCTGGAGAGATACCGCACTTAGTGAACGGCTTGGGGAGTTTGTAGATATCCTATCGATAGATGGTGCTTGTCTATTTTCTTTTACTCTGTGATTAGCAGCATCCAAAGATCCGTAAGCGCTGTCTTTGGTTGAGCTGTGTGGTGAGTTATCCTCCTTGACACCGTAGCGTCTTGCAACATTTGCGGGTGCTACTGGTTCTATATTTTGAACATCATAAGAGAGAGGATTCTTATCGGGGACTCTTTTAACACCTTCAATGACTTCACCAGTTCTGGGATTGATATGTTTTTCCGTGTCGTAGCGTAATGTGACTCGGTGGCTTTCATCAATTGGATAAGGTCGCGTGTGTTCTTGTAATTCTATGTCACTATCATCATATACGCTGGGATCACAGGTCTCCTCCTAGAAAAATAATACATTTAAATTAAATTTTTTTCAATACTCTAATAAGAGAAAAGTTTCTAGTAGATACTACCTCCTCATCTACTTCTTCTATAACGCTGTTCTGGATCCATTCACGAATTCTTTCCTTTTTTGCATGTCTGTCAATTGTGACTTCGATACCATTGTCTCTGAAGTGTTTTAATAAAATGTTCTTTTCATTTGGGTCACTTCGAAAACTGTACATTGAGGGACAGAGTTCATCAATATCTCCTCCCGCTGAAATAGAGAACAAAATAAATGGTGATAAGAACTCTCAAATCATTCAAAAGAGAGTAATGAAATTGCATTTCAAGAAATTTGAATAATGCAATTTGACAAGATTTTCCGAGGTGGCAGGAAGTTCGCGCATGGATTTCTAATAGCAAAACTCATAAAAACGACTACTGTCTAAGGCCTCCTGGTGCCTTATACCTACTAATTTAAAAAAGGGAGATTGATAGTGCACCACGAGCGTATGGGTACGTACTTAATTCATATAGGTAATAAAGTACACATGAACGTCAACAGAAAAGATGTTAAATTGATTCTAAATTTACATTTCCTACCAGTGCGCAAGTTGGGCGCAGAGCGGGCAAGAAGAACTAGCAAGAAACTATCCGCCACTCTTTTTAATCACCAAAGTTTTGAGACATACAAATTGCTTAAACTGGAGCAAATCTATCCCAATCGGGCGGTGAAGGAGGCCTTGTGGTCAGAGATCAGCAGGTCAGCCTAGGTACGATAGAGTGGAGGATGACCTGCTGCAGCTGAAAGAGAGCAATTGGCGAGAGGTGGCACTGGACAGGGAGCGCTGTAAGATTCTCATTTCGGAGGCCAAGACACTTTTTGGGTTGCAGAACCAGCAGAGAGAGTAACTCTCTTTTATAATATTAATATTATAAACGATTTCGTTAAACCTTACCGACTCTATCCGTGTAACCCTTAGCCATCCACCGGTAGTCATAATATCTAGTTAATTCAGTGAAATTCACAGCTCGTCTGTCAACTCTGGGCTCAATAAATTTCTTAAACATTTTCTGGGCCCGCGATGAAACCATTTTCCATAATTTCGGTTGTCTTCTTAGCGGGTTCGCGCTATTGTACCAATTGAAGTAGCTGAGAAAGTCATTATATATTAGTAGAAATACTCGCTATTTTATTGTAAGTCAACAAGGTGATTTAGCCCAATTCGGCCCCGGAAGCTCCATTATTATGATCAAATGTAATAAAGCATAGAGAGTGCACTTATGTCTACGTAGAACAAGTGCACATTCTTTGAAATAGATGAAATTAAATAGGCGATAATAAAATATGTTTATATAATATGCAAAATGTCGGTAAATGCTAATTGTTAGATAGATCTTTAAATGAATTTGGATAAGTTTTGTTGTCTAAATAGATAGGCTTAAAAGGTAGAATAAATACTCTAATGTAAAATATAATATGATTTCTACTGTTAGAGTTTTTTAATTAGATGCTATTTAGAGCCAACATTGTGTTGGGTATTATAAATAAAGTTATCACACTTCCCATAGATGAAATAAATTATAACAATTAATGTAAACACACTATACATCAATCGACAGCGTGTATTACGAAGATGCTTTGTAAATAAACTTTGCCTTCCGTTCTAATTCGCGTAGACTATAAATAGTTGTAATGATACATGTGATGGGCTATAAGTTACTTTTTTACAATATCTGACATTATATATTATATTTGATACTCGTTTGTTTGTAGTTTTAACTTTAAAGTATTTTTTTTAAAGTTTCACCACATAATATAATGCATGTTTACAGTATTTTTTAAAAGTAATTTATTCTAAAACACATGACAATTATGATGAACATAAATCTTACAAAAAATAAGAATTCAATAAAAATATTACACGGGTGCGGATGAGGTAATGTTTAATGTTTAAAGAACTTTATTTCTCATTACAAAAATTTTTTTTTTTTATTTACATGAGAAATTTAATATTAAGTATATATACGACGAGTACACGTGCCATCAGCCCAATTCTAGTCTAATGGCCCATCCTGATTTTCTTTATGCCCTTTTGAACTGATCAATCCTAATGTTACGAAGCTTAACGGCAACCATTAAACAATTGCACACCCTCATACCTAATAGATCTCTTTAAATAATTTGTGCGCGGCTTTGCAAGATAAGCAAACTCGCTCACGAGTATTGCGTGTAGTGGTGTATTTGATTTTATTAAATGATAAGTTACTATGTAGAGAGTTATTTAAAATTTTTTTAATAAGGATACAGGTGCTATAAACATATAGTTGTTTAATCGTCATAATTTTAGTTTCTTGGTAGATTTTATTAGTAGGTGTTAAAAAATTGTATCTGAATAGTGCTTTTATTAATTTATTTTGTAGTGTTTGTATTGTAGAAATTTTGTTTTTGCATGCTGTACCCCATATTTCAATTAGGTATATGAAATGTGGCTTGACTAAACAATTATAGATCAAATGACGTACAGATTGCGGAATGCATTTAGATATTGACCAAAATCTGCCTATAAGTGATTTTAGTTTGGTAATTATGTGTGATATATGAAAGTTCCATTTTAAATTTGTATCCATTCTAAGACCCAGATATTTCTCCCTCCCATTTTTTGTTATTGATTTCAACGTCTTGAACTTTAAGCGGTTGAAAGATAGGAATGAGTTTATTTGTTGCCTTGAATATTACATAAGATGTTTTTGAAATATTAATTGTTAGTAGATTTTGTTGAAACCAAAATGTATCAGATAGACACTTAACAATGCTTTTTTTTAAATTGATTTATTTTAAGCTCTATACTGCTCTGTGAATAAGTTCACCATTATAATTATTTTTTCATTACCTTGTTTACATATACATACATATGCTTACTGAAGCATATAAAAAAGTTCTAGTACCTTAAATATCTGGGGTCATCAAATGCTGCTTTTTGCCATGGCAAACATCCCGTCAGACATATAAAAATCACTATTCCAAATTGCCAAATATCATGGCTGATTAAGGCCCTGTAAATAAACAAATAATCAGAGCTATGCTCATTATGGTGCGAGATAATAAAAAGTACGTAGTGACCAAGTTTGAAGAAAAGACCTTAATGTCGAGTAACTTGAACAACAGCGGTCAAGAGTTCAACCCTAGCTGTACACCATTGGATTTTGCTATCTCTGTGGTAAATTAACATAAGCTTAAGGCAAACGTCAAAAACCAAGCCGGCGCGTGTAAGACCTATTAAAACTAATAAAAAAATACAATCTAAGGCAAAGATAATTACTGATTTATCCATTTGAGTTCTATTATTATTGTCTATGACGAAAGCCGTAATTTTTGTTATAATATAATTCGCCTAATCCTTTACAAGATATATTTTTTTAAATGGAGAAACAAAGGTCCTCTGACATGAATGAAATTAATTAGTGTCGGAAAGGACGTCCGTTTAATAATACAACTGTTTAAAAATAATTATAAAAACAATCAATTACGGTAAATAAATCAATTACTTGTAAGAACTATCCATAGACAAATTCAAAACTTCCGGTGGCGAATACGGCAACCATTCGTTTCTCCTCCTGACAACGGATTGGACCTTCCTTGTCTCCCCAAAATCGCATAATTTTATACGGGAGAAGTCCGATTTAAAAATGAGAATGTTATCTAATTTAACATCCCTATGGACTAGGTCTCGTTGGTGCAGATGGTCCAAGGCGGATGCCAATTGCTTTGTAACTCTTTTGGTATGAATTTCGCCAATGCCTGTATCCAGCATATTCGATGTTAGATCACCTGAAACAGAATATCAAACTATTGTTAGCCGGGCTTCTAACAGTCTCTGTGTGTAGCGTAAGCTATCGCGGAATATGCTTAAAAGGAGTATTTAAGTATCCATAGTGCTATCTCACTAGTGTCATGAAGACACCCCCTCACACTCTTAAATACATACCCGTACAAACTATCAGTTTAAAACCATAACACAACACAGCTAGTTAAATGTATATTTGAAATAGATTTTTTAGTTTCGTAAATGTTTGAACCTTTTTGCATTGAGTATGTATTCGATCTATGGCTATCTATATCTTTAGTATAATTATTTTATGTTAGTTGTAGGATTACAAAATAAATAAATAAAGTATTCGTAAGTAGGCTAACACTGTTTTGTAAGCTGAAACTAACAATCGTGATTTCAATCAGATCTACGATTAAATTTAATGCTCATTTAAATTGATTTTGGCTGCCGTCCAACTCGAGTCGTAACAATGAATGTGTGGATTTAAAAGATCGTAATTTGAATCACTGTCTGCGACTTCTGGTACTCATTATTATTAATTTTGTTGTTATTATGGATTTTCCCAGTGGAATGCTTTAAAGCAAGGTCTGGGTAAGGATTCCCTACGAGCGATGTGAGACCAGTGATGCCCACTCCTACAGAATATTCCCCCTAGGACCAACTTCAAATAACCCAAAATATCGATAAAAACCCCTAAAGTTTTTGTTGCACACACAGTTTAAGAGATAATTACAAATATGGATCAAATATATATTTAAGTATTTGATATTTCAGTTATATCCACGCTTGGAGTTTATATTTGGTTTAGTTCGTTGGTGGGATTCTAGGCTTAATATAAATTGTATAGAATTGTGCGTTTATAATTACCGTATTACCTAAAGTACCCACTAAAAACCCCCTTAAAGCCCAGACCACCTTGATTCCCCTTAAATTTGGGGGGAAACCCCCCAAAATAGCATCACTCAAACTTTGCACGTTTCGTCTCTGAATCTCACCCTAAGCCGTACATGTGGTACAAACATCTATATTTGCTAATACCGCGTTGCCCTATAATTCGAATGATTGAATAAATAAAATAAACAGAGTGCAGATTTTAATATTATCGTCTATGTTCCAAACCTATTTTCGATGGATTGAAATTATGTCACACATATTGAGGTGTATAAAACAGGTAGAGAGGCACAGAAATTTGTCGCTTTATTTTAAATTTTCCCTTCTAATTTCGTGCTTTAGTAAGTAATTACGCGTCTGTCCTAATTGAATTAACTAAACTCTTACTAATATCTTATTCACAACAGCCGTTAATTTTTGTCTGCTTTGCTGCTTGTATATTATATTATTTTCACATTTTTCCAACCCAGATTTGGTACCATGATGGCCCCACATTTAAATTCTTACCTAGTGGTGCGTATTCTTGACAGAATACGTAAAATCCAGCAGTCTCAAATGCTACATCGAATGATGTAACTATATTTCTATGTGCACTTAAGTGTAGACTATAATGGAATTCTCTATAAAAATCACGTATCGAAACATACGGCTTTGGTAATGCCTTTAAAACAATTTCTGTGTCCGATGCTCTGTGTTCTACTAATAGTATTTTCCCGAACCATCCTTCACCGACTATTTGTAATATATCAAACTCTTCAACCAAACACACCTGAAAATAAATTTGTGAGCGTTATATTTTGTAAACAAATCGGTTACTTTATTAATCTATGTTAATATAAAGAGGAAAAGTTTGTGAGGTTTGTAGTCTATGGATTCTGGGGCCTTTAGTTAAGATGCCTTAACAATAGTGTATAAAAAAATATGTAGAAAGTAGAAAACTAAATTTGTAAATGACAGTTAGTGTCGACAAAACAAAATGGAGGCGATTTTGACAGTTCTTTTACCTATGGAAAGCCACATTTCACAAAGTTATTTGTAGGTGTCATATTTGGGGGGCCTCATAGCCTAGCGGTCTTATTAAGTGGCAGCTAGGTGAGGGGTACCGGGTTCGATTCCCGGTTCGAGGGCAAGTTTTAATTTAATTTAAATTTGTTCTCGGCCTTTGGGAGGGTTGTGCGGTACCGGGCGAGTGCTTAAACCGTACATGGAGGACACGGTCGAATTTCTAAAGACAAAGCACAAATTATACAAAAAATCTATACTTGACGCTGGCTAATGCACAAATCGTGCCAGAGCAATTAAAAAAAAAAGTATCATATTAACTCGAAAATTTAAAATACTTTTTCGTGGTATTCAGTTTTGCAAATTACGTCGGAGACAAAACGGTCGAATGAAAACGTTTCTTACGAACGCTGCCTAAACGATGAGAGATATATGATTCTAGAGAAAAGTTTTAGATATTAAGCCTACACAAAAGTCAGCATATGTTTAATTTTTATATTATATAGAAACAAGTCCTCCGTCTATCTGGGTGTCTGTTCACGATAAACTAACAGCTGCGGTTTTCTTTAATATTAATAAGTACTCAAAATGTAGGTAAGTACTCAAAATGTTTAGTTATATTTATCAGAAGAACAAATTTGTTTTAATATAGCTGGTTACGATTTCAAATAAGAATGAACTCTTGGGAAGTTTTTTTATATTCTGCTGCTTAAATTTTCGCGCGCTTTCTGAAAACGGGATTTTGCGTCCCACAGTTCATTTCGGGGACACTCGTAATTGGAAAAAGAGACAGTCCCGTTCTAAACGGGACGTCTAGTCACGTTAGGTACCTATACGCCGTGTGTCAGGAAGAACATGCAAACTATAAACACGACAAAAAATGAGCTGGTGAATGAATGACAACGTTCGTTATTTTTTTGAGTTATTTCTGTTCTCGCTTATTTAATGAACAATTTTTAATGAGATTAATGGTGTCATGAATATATGGAAGTCAGAATCATCATTGTTCATAATGACATCCATCAATAAATAAATTAATGTTTTTATTCGTTTCGCCTTTTTACCTTTATATAACTTGTGTCACATAACTGTCAAACATTATTCTTCTATCTAAAGCCTAGCCGAGGTAGATACCGTGGATTGATTGCCACTTTTAAATCATTTTTGAATACTTACTTTTTCTAACTCAAATTCTCTTATTTTGTGTATTGAGCCCGTTAAGGCTCTCCTGGATCCGTCATTCATCTTTTATTATAGTTTTCTCCCTTAACCATCATTTTACTGAAATAAAAGAAAGCATATAAAAAATGTTCGTCCTTATTTCCTTAACGTAGTTTTAGTGTAATACAGGCTTGGCTTTTGCCTTATCTAAATAAAGATAAGCGGCACTTAACATATACCTTCAGTATTCGTAAAAACCTACTGGATTTTTCATACTTTGTATTAGAAAATATTAGTTATTATTGAGGAAATGTTCTAAGAGGCGGGAAGACTGACTGTATTTAGCAGTACTATCAATTTAGTTTTTTCTTTAAAATATTAAAATGTCGTTGTTTCAATCTTTAATTTCAGTTTTATTTTTTTTAACTATTAATGTAGGTACTTATGCTTTCTATTTCATATATTTTGTTTATAAATGTAATCTGTTTTGGCTTTGTGTATTGTCCAAATGTTTTCTCTTATAATATGGATATGTGTAGCTGTAGGTAAATTTGCTGATAAATAAAATATGAATTAATTCTAGGTCTGTATTTCCTAAACATAGGATGTAAAGTCGTCCCCATTTCACGGTGTGTTGTTGATTGAATGGTCTTGGATATGAGCCAGATTTGGTGTCTACTACTTCGTTACTGACGTCATATGTGACGTCACTAAATAAAAATTACACGGAATATGAAATAGTGCGACAATTTATTACCCGAGAACAACATCGTTCAAAAACTAAAAATGAGATCGATTTATATGTTTTTAATAAATATATAAGTGTTATGTGCAGTTGGACTATACTAGTCTATAATATATAATTTTTTGAGGACCTTCTTTATGATGGAAGCCGGTTGGGAGACGTGCCGGTCTAATGCGCTTGCGCATTTAGAAGACTGCATAAGGTTATTCTTTAAAGTATATAGGTAGATGAGCTTAATAATAATAATAATCCTGATAATGATGATAGAAATGTAAATCACAGTAATATTGAGTCACCGTATAGTGGACACAAAAAAAAACAAGTCATGCAATCATCTAAAATAATGTTCACTGTCATATCAATTCGTAATATAAATAAAAATATTGAAATTGACTGACTGGGTCTTTACATTGACATTTCTCTAGCAACGAGATCTATAATCTATATAAATAGGTCAACGATTACCAGCTAATGATGTGTATGGAATTTCTATGTAGTTATCGTAATGACGCAATTTTTGGATCGGTACGAAAACTCAAGAAATTTGCATCGCAATCGCTATAGGTATTGGAAGTCACAGAGTACAGACTAGAAGAAAAGTACCTTCTGACTGAATCATTAATTAGCGCTTTTAAATAAGTAAGTCCTAAGTCAGAAGATTATGCTTTACACACGAAGTGGTAATTAGTAATAATTAGCATTTATAAAAATATTTAAGGAAACATGTAGACACGTCTAACAGGACCAGACTACACACGAGCTACAGACACGAAGTTCTAAAAGGTCTGGTGGTACTTGTAGACAATGCTCATCATAATTCTAGTATTAACTTCTCAGTCGTATTCTTTTTAAGGTCGAGTCACTGTAAGGTACCTGATGCCCTGCTAGTGATATCTTTCCACTGTGTTCGGTCTACAGCTTCCCTTTGTGCAGTTGTTATGGGGAGACCCCTGAGAATCTTGAATACGAGGGCGGCACTGAAAATTTCGGGAATCAAGGAAGTGACACAACATTACTATTTAAAAATGTATTTATTGCTTTTCGAAGTATTCTCCGCGAAATTTGACACATTTTTCATATGATAAAACCAATCATTGAAGCAACCATTCCATTCGGAAGTTGGGGTCTCCAAAATGGCCGTTTTGTAGGCGTCTACAGCTTCTTCAGGTGATGAAAATCTCTGACCACGCAAATTATTCTTTATTTTAGGGAAAGTATAGAAATCATTAGGGCTTAGGTCGGGGCTGTACGGCGGATGGTCTAATAATTCTGTTTTCTTGCTCTAAAAACTCTTTTGTTCTGTGCGCGGTGTGAGAACTCGCATTGTCGTGATGGAAGATGATGCGGCGGTTGCAGTTCTCTTTACGGAGTTCAGAAACGACCTGTGGCAAACAAATGCTAGCATACCATTCTGCATTTAACGTTCTTTGTCCCTCAAGAGGAATAGTCGCAACATGGCCGGTTTTGGAGACAAACGTGGCCACCATTTTTTTCCAAATGCAACACTCCGTGAACGAACAATTTTCGTTGGCTTTAACTCATTTTCGAACACCCAAACTCGTGACTGGTTTTTTGTTTCGGGTTCGTACGCGTATATCCAGGATTCGTCACCTGATACGATGTTGTATACAGCATTTGAGGATCCTGCATGGAATCTTTCGAGAGTTCTGACGCACCAAGTAACGCGAGCCGCTTTTTGCTCTTCACAGAGCGAATGCGGTATCCATCGGGAAAACAACTTTTATACACCTAATTGTTCATGCAAGATTATTTGCATTTGACTCATGCCAATGTCTAAAGTTGCCTGAATTTCGCGGTATGTCACATGTCGATCTTCCTCAATCAGCTTACGCACAGCATCAACGTTTTCTTGGGTGACTGCAGTTTTTGGACGACCTTGACGGGTATCATCACTGAGCTTGACACGTCCACGTTGAAATTCAGCAAACCAGCGATAAATTGTGGTTTTGGATGGGGCTTCATCACCAAATGCAGAAATCATCCGGTCAACATACTGTTTTTGTGATAAACCACTTCGAAAGTCATAATAAATCATCGCTCTTGAATTTTCTCGAGTCAATTCCATTTCCTCAACGACGAGTTTGACAAAACTTTGTGAAAAGACCGAAAATCTTTTTAAAAAAAAAATGGTATTCGATTTAAAAAAAATGAGTTTTCAATTAAAAAGATTTAAATATGACAGGAACAGTGGTATTATTCCATTCCCGATACTTTTAGTGCAGCCTATGTAAGTCACACGGGGTTGGGGATCTGCGTCGCGGCATTTTGCCTGCAACCTTGCCGACGACAACTAGCTTGTTCACGTTATCAGTTTCGCGACAAGTGATATGACCAAAGTAAGTCAACTCAAGAAAATACTAAGTATGGATGTCTTGGACTCATCAATTTCTCTCAAAGAGTATAAATTAGCGCACATTTTATATAATTATTCCTTTAAATTCCTTCAATTCATAGCTACTTGTTGTTTAGATCTAAAATTAGCATGGATTAATGTTCCATTGAATGTTCAATCAAAGTACCGATACAATTTTAGCAGGCTAAATGCAGTTGATTGACGTACGTACTATACAAACGTGGTACTAACTACTCGTATTTCGGTTCAAAGATAGAAAATCTATCTAGATCTCAAATAATTACATTCAGTTAGTGAGAAAAATTAAATTTTTATTTTTATTTAAATTTGGTAGGTAGGTTAGTTGTGTACATTGTGTAATCAAATTATATGAATATAAGCTGTATAAAATAAAAATAATAATTGCTCTGCAAATATTAAAATAAAAACTTCGTGTAAAATAGATTAGGTAAAGTAAAAAATACATACAGCAATAATATTAGTTAGTTACATACATTTATTTATAATATTGTATTTTAATTAACGATTATATTACACACAATTATATTTAAAAAAAATTTACTATTGTAGTAAATTATCTATTTCTATGTGTATGTAAAATGTGGTAGTGGTATGAACCCTATTATATTATTGAGTCCTTTAAGAAAAGAGCGTACCAATTCTTAAAAGGACGGCAAAGCACTTGCGAGCCTTCTAGCAATGTGAGTCTCCATGGGCGGCGGTATCACTTAAGTTCTGATGAGACACCTGCCCGTTTGTCTCCTACTAAATAAAAAAAATGGGGACAACATTTTCATTTAAACTTTAATCGTATGATGGCATAGGTATGTGTTTGATTTGAAATTACACAATGTTTTATTAAGTGGTAACTCTATGGTTACTGTATGGGCTAGAAACTTATTATTAAAATCAAAGAAATTATGAATATATTTTTTTAAATTACGGTGGGGTCTAGAGTAGGTACATGTACTTTAATGAAAAATCATTATTTAAGATAAATTAATTAAGAGTCGGTGCTTTCTTCGCTAATGTTTATTGTATAAGCATCACAATACCGAAGAAGTGTGCTGACATTAAGAATACTCTCCCATAAGACCAAGCGTATATTTATTATTTTTGTGTACTGTATCTTAATGTACCAATTAAGATGTACATAAACTAAGATAACGTTTAAATCAGGATATTAATTTTAATTACACACTATTCTTAACCTACATAGTAATAATTAAAAACGTATAAATTGAAATAGAAATTTTCATTTTCTTTTTCGAACTAGCATCGGAATCGAATCCCGGCGGGAGTCTTCCCCGAGAGATACGACCTCCAACAATTCAACAACAAGTTAGAGTGTACTCCACCTCAAAGGCCGGCAACTCACCCACTAAAATGGGTGTCCATGGGTTGCGATGACTGCCCTTTTTGGGCGTTCCGTAGGCTCGTTTGCCCCCTATTAAATATAAAAAAAACTAAAATTAATTTGAAAAGTGTGGTCTGTGCATTTCCACGCTGTATTGCTATACTCATTCGTTTAGCGCACCAGCTCTGAGGTCACCGGTACTATCTACGATACTAAATTGTATGGACATTTAAAACACACTAGTGCTTATATTAAAAAGATATGTCTTAAGACGCATTTAGCTAGTGTGGTAAATTAACATAGTTAAAATTATTAAGTATTGTTTGTTGTTACAAAGAGAATTTAAAAATGACATCGTTTAATTTCCTCTGATTTACATATTCCGTATATAGTACACCGGCCTACAAAAACAATCGACCTACGTTGTCGCAAAAAAATATTCTACGTCGTTTTAGTTTCATATTTTACGATGGATCCCAAATATGCAATTGAGTAAAGTACCTAATTTTTATAAAAATAATAATAAATAAAAATAATCGCATAATATATATATAATAAATAAATATATAATATTCATTACTAAAACAGTCTATATGCAAGACAGTCTA